CCGACAAGCCATAGCCACTTTGGTTATTGCCCCTATTGCTTATTTCTCAAGGTACTCAAAATCTTAACTCTTTTTTTTGTTGATTTTATCTCTCTCTCTCTCTCTCTCTCTCTCTCTACATATATATATATATATATATATCTTTGTGTGTTTCCATTGCCGCAGAGTTCCAACGAAGCTGCAGCTAATTTTAATTGCTTTTGGTTTTGGATTCTGGCAATGTCATAGCTTTATGGGCATAAACCGGATAAGGATGGAAAAAGCCATTAATCAAAGTATCCAAGCATTCTAGTAGGAGAAGAAATATAAAACTTGCTTTTGAGATCATTTTATCTACAACCAGTATTTGCATTTCTTAGATAATGATAAAAATATGAAGGATCATTATCACTGGTACCTCTTGAATTTTAGAGTCATCTCTAATTTATCTCTGAACTTAAAAATTCTCAAATTACCTTCTGAATTTTGAATTGTTCTCACTTAATTTATTCTGCGATAATTTTTGTTAAAAATATATAGAAAAAAAAGAGTAATGCAGTCACGTCTGTTAAAATCAAACATATAAAAACTACATGTGTGCACTTAACTCTATCTTCATCCTTATTTTAACAGAAATTATTATAAAAAAGCTTAAATGGGACAAATTTAAAATTCAAATGATAAAATCAAAGGTTTTAAACTTTAGGGGAAAAAATAGGAATAACTCTAAAGTTAAAGGGCACTAGTGAAATTAATCTAAATATGAAATAAAAAAATTACGAATATCAGTATTTTTCAAGTTTATATTCTTTTCCCATTACAGAGGCCCAAATATTTACTAAGTTGAAAGAAAGCAAATTGAAGAGCTTGTCATTATTGGTGATGAATATATATTACTTATGTGATAGTATACTTATTATCCAAAATTTATTATTTAATTTTATTTCGTGTGCAACATTAATATAGGGTTCGTTTGTTTTATATACTTAAATTTAAAGGTGTGTAAACCAATTAAACTGTTTATTTTAGGTAAAATGCAAACCAAACTAATTATAAATCAGTTTAGGGATTTTCAAACTAAATTAATTAAGAGATCTAATCCAATCCAAACCAAACTGATTGTAATTAGTTTCGTTTGGTTTTTCTAATTGGTTTAAACTAATATTTTACAACATCTTTCCAAACCCTCTTAATCGTAACTGGTACTAATATTTTGTATGATAGACATTTCTTATAATAGAAACCTTGAGGGCTATGATGATTTAATATTAGATTTTTTTTGTATTTTTATATATGAATACGTTATAGATATACAAAATAAAAATATATATAAATTGGATTGGTTTTCTTTGTTTGGTTTTTTAAAGGTTAAAACCACAAGTTTGGTTTTTTTAAAGGTTAAAATCACAAATCAAACCGATTTAATTATTTTTTTTTTAAGAATTTAAACTAAACCAAACCGATTATTAATTAATTTAGTTTGTTTTTTTTTAGTTTGATTTGGTTTGGTTGATTTGAATGGTTTGTTGAACACCCTGCTCAAACTTAAATCATTGATTTTATTACAGTATTTTTTTCTTATGAAAAATTTAAATTTTAAACGTCAGAATTAAAACTCTTATAGTGACACTACCACCGCATGAGTGGTGGATTTTATACAATATTATTATTATTATATTGAAATGGATCATAACATTACGCAAAATGGAATGGATCACAGCTAGCTTTCACTGGCAAGTTGGCTGTTGGAAGTTTAGGGTGCTTTTAATCTATCACACACTTTTGTTGCCTTCAATGCACATAAAGTCCATGAGCTATGTCCTTCTTGATTGCCCTACACGGACATACCCATGTTCTTCTGCCATAGCTTCTAGGTTGGTGCTTTTTTTTTTTTCTTATTTGTTAGATTTCCCTCTAAAGAAATTGATTCTCAAAATCGTCTAATTTGGAAATCTTTAGGAAATTGATTACCCAATGTTTGTGTTTCCCAATTCATTTTCAAGTATTTATGTCCCCACACTAAAAATGAGAGAAAAAAAAAATAAAAATAAAGAAGGAAGAGAAAATTAGGGGGCCGTCCATACTTTCAACGCTTAACATTTTTTTTTGTTTTGGATGTTGCGATATCTACTATGTTCTTAATCATTGATTTATCAAATGATTTGACTTCTATATGTACTAAAATTTTCAAGCGCGTCTATCTGCGTACAGACGTTTAATTTGTAAGTATAGCCTTACATATTTTTCATGATAATTATAATTGAATTTCATGTTCCTGAGCAAAAGAGTGAATTTCATGTTGTGATTATTATGCGTTTTTCCTCTTTTTTTTCTTTTATATAGCATGGGAAAAGATTGAATTTCATGCTGTGATTATTATGCGTTTTTTTTTTTCTTTTATACAGCATGAGACTTATGTTGCTTGATTTACTAATAAGAAATGAAGAACCGTTTTGTTCATGAATTAGAATCATGAGATTAAAACTATTTTTGATTTACGTGTATTTTTTGTGAGGGAAAATACTGTAGCAAATCATGAACCATGATTTGAATCAGAGAACGAATCTTCCAACCAAACGGGCTCGAAATCACTAAAATTCAAACTCTAATAGACACACCTACACACTACACACTCATCAAATTCATAGACTAATATATAACGATATAACCTTAATATAAGGACATAACCTTTATGCTTACTACAAGACCCAAAAAAAAATACACACACTTTTAATGTTTACCATATCAACTACTCAGGGGTATTTTGAGGATTTCAATGTAAATGTGGTAATGTGACTTGTCAATTTTAGTATGGAGGTGTTGGTAATATTTGCACTCGTGAATTTATTAACACCCCACTAAATCTTAATCTACATTTATTATAAATTTGCTTGCATTAAAATTACCTAAAACCCACTAATATGCCTCATATTAACTACAAAAAGAAATACTATTGTTTTAAAAAAAAAAATTTATAAAAAGGTATACACCCACATTAATTATAATTAAAAAGTATTTTTCAAAGTAATTAATTGTCGGTGCTTCCAACAAAATATTTAAAACTCAAAGGGCGCGTTTAGAACTCGTTTCAAAATGATTTTATTTTTTGTATGAAAATGAAAATTAAAACGTTTTTAATCTGAGACAGAAATTATTTTTAAAAATATGTTTAGTAATTTTATCAAGAGATTATTTTCAGTGTAAAAATACTATTAATGTCTCTCTTTCTCTCTCTCTGCTCGAGAGAGGAGAAATAAAAATAAAAAATGAAAAACGACTAAAAGTCATTTTTCATTTCTTTCTCACTTTACACTAAATCAAAAAATCGTTTTCATTTCCGTTTTTTATCTTTATTACGCCAAACGCTATTTTGAAAACGTTTTCATTTTTTATTTCTTAAAAAACGTAAAAAAATAAAAACAGAATCAATTCTAAACACAAAACAGTTCTTTTCCTTCTTCCTTTTAGTCACGCCCCGAAATAAATCTATAAATGCAAGCACCGAAATGAAACTTGTTACAGCTTGTGAAGAGTGAAACATCAAAAAGCAAGAAACAAATTGGTATGATTCAAAAGCTTTTTAAGTGTTTGGTCCTCCATCTTATTATTAGGATAGATTTTTCGATCATAACATATAACTCACCGATTAAGATAAAAAAAATTAAAATTTTTTGATGAATTACAATAATTTTAAAAAGTAAATATAATATTAATAATTGAAAGGGATTATATTATTTTATAAATCATATTAAAATTAAAATTATAGTGGGGACATGGGAGGGTTAAATTAAATATTATAAAAGTAGTATCTATAAAAGGATAGATTTTTCAAATCTTCATTAAATGAGTATTAATTATTGAGGTATCTATAAATTTTAGGGGTGCATATATAACTAATCTTGGGAAAATTGTGAAACTTACTCTTAGAGTGTATAAGTATGAATTTTTACCCATTAGTTTTTATTAATACCTTTTTTAAGTAATATAAAGGACACTAATAAAAGTAAGTAATAAAAATCTAGACCCATACACTCTAAATGATATTTGTGTCATTTTCTTTTCTAATTTGTCATTAGAGCTTTCTCAATTAAAGTCTAGGGACATTTTGACACGACAAACTATCAAGTTACGTTTAGTAAGGAGATTCATACCATGATTTGAATCATGGTTAATCGTTTGTTACAATGTTTTCTCTCATAAAAAATACACGTAAATCAAAAATAGTTATAATCTCATAATTCTAATTTATGAATCAAACGTCCCATGAATATCTGGCCATTCGGGAGGGATTTTTCTTCATCATGGAGAGTGGCCTTAATGTTCATGATATCGAATGTGACTCTTATCAATGCAGTTAAAAGAATTAGAAAGAAGGACCTCTTATTTGATATTGGCTCAATTGTGGAAGATATTTTGTAATTGTTAGATAGAGTTTAATAGGTGGTGGTCACACACTGACTAAAAAGGTTTTTTTCTACTACTTGTGACCAATTTTGTTTGAAGGAGTTTCCTTTTGTATTTTGGATATTGTGGATGTTAAATCTACGCACTTGGGCATAAATATTTATTAACAAATAGTAATAATGTTTAACAAACTTTTAAATCAACCACTCATAAGTGCAACACCTATTTTTTTTAAGAGGAGAACACAAAATGCGAAGCTCTAATATTCGTGGTATATATTCAAAAGTATGTTTTCTTTTTTAATTTTTTTACATTCCTCAAAATTATTCAGAGGGAAAAGAACCATTTGCAAAGTACGGAAACATGCTGAATTATTGTATTGTTAAATTTACCATATGAATCTAAATTTTTATCTTTTATTCTTAATTAAAATTTTTTTCAATAAAAAATAAAAGATAAAAATATAGACTTATCTCCTTTCATTGTTTTAAATTAATCATTCTCTTTCTTTTTCAAGTGTTATTAAGGGGTTGTTTGGTTGGGAGATTCATACCCCGATTTGAATCATGATTCATGATTTACTACAGTATTTTTTTTCACAAAAAATACACGTAAATCAAAAATGGTTCTAATCTTATGATTGTAATCCATAAACTAAACGTCACTTAAGTCCAATTTTGGGCTTATTCGGGTCGACCCATTAAAGTTGGGCTTATCTATTGTCCTGTCCTCACCTGTATCAATAGGCCGAACCCAAACTTTGCCCAAATTCTGATTCGGCCCAATAGGGCCCACAAACGATCGTCTCCGTGCTCCCTCTCCTTCCTCATTCCGTCGGAGAATCTTTCTCAGTCTGAGGATCCTCTCTCTCTTTCTCTCTCTTCTCTCTTCAATGGCGACAACCCTAGAAACCATCTCCGAAGCTCTCCAACAAATCGACTCCAAGAAATCCGACCTCAAAAAGGCCTTCGACGACCTCCAATCTAACTCCTCTCTCCTCATCTCCTCCTTCTCTCTCTCCTGGTCCGACCTCGACTCCCACTTCACCTCCCTCCAATCCTCCCTCACCGACCAATTCAACCTCCTCCAAACCCTACAATCCCAATCCACCGCCGACCCCGAACCGCCGGCTGGACCGGCCGCGGATGACGCCGAACCGGAGCCTGAGCCGGAGTCGGCCCCGCCTCGGCCGGAGCTGGTCGCCTTCTGCGAGAAGATGGACGGGCTGGGGCTGAGGAAGTACGTCAACGAGACGTCGAAGGAGAGGAACGCCGTCAGGGCGGAACTCCCGAGCGCGCTGCGGCGGGCGTCGGACCCGGCGGCGATGGTGCTCGACGCCATGCAAGGGTTCTTTGGGGAGGGAGAGAAGAGGAAAGGAGATAAAGACCTTGCCTTTAACGCTCTGAGGAGGAGTTGCGTGTTGTTGCTGGAGCAGTTAATGGCGGTTCGTCCGAATGTGAGCGGTGATGTGAGAGAGAGAGCGAAGGCTTTGGCTGCGGAGTGGATGCGGAAGGGGAAAACCAGTGCCGACGGCCCGTTGGAGTCTTTGGGGTTCTTGCATTTGGTGGCGGCTTATGGATTGCTTTCGGAGTTCGATTCCGATAAGATTCTTGACCATTTTGTTTTCATCGCGAGGCATCGTCAAGCAATCCAATTGTGCCGGAAAATGGTCCCGGAGGATAATGTGAAAGGTAATGTTTTTGTTGCTCAATTTCGAATTTTGATGCGAAAAATTTGATTTTTCTGTAACTGTATATAATTTTGTGTTTGATGCCTTATAATGGGTTTATTGCAATGTTGAATTTTATCATTACATTGTATTTGGAACAATTGAATCTTCATTTAGTTATGCTTCTTCTGTGGTTAGACTAGAAGTTTTGAAACTTTAGTCATGAGTAAAGGAAAATGGGGCTGAGAGTGCAGAAAATAGATAAGGTTTCTTTGCGCCCCCGGCAAAGGAGTGATCGGAAGACGGCAGAGGAGGAGGCGGAGGCGGAGCAACCATTGGAAGTTGATGTTTGGAAAACCGCACAAACAGGAGAGAAATAGGAGGATTTTCGAAGGGCGTGAGGGGGACATTTTTGTTACTTGGGATAGGATCAAAATAAATATTGCACTATGGAGTCATTCTAATAAGGAGTTTTGTGACCTTCTCTTCTCAGATCTTGTTAGAGATTGGTCATCCTCATTTTTATAGACTTTTGTTTTCACCTTCTTGTTATAGGATTTTGGTTCCTCTGTTGTACTGTTCTTCCCCACTTTTTCTTTAATAAAATTTTGATTTCGCTTCTTTTTCAAAAAAAAAAAAGATGTATGGTTTCGTTAATAAGCTAGAGAGATGGTGTAAATTAGAAAGCACAGAAAGAAAAGAGAGGAATTTGGTTGTGATGTATATAAATAGGTTTAAAATCATATACATTACACAAGGGAAAGAACTATGGAAAGATAGACTGCAGAAATAGTTTTGTCTCCTCATGCACAGAGTCTATATGTGCTTGTTATGGGTGGATACTGTTTGCTGCAAAGGAGGAATTTTTGGAATAATAGGTTAAAATGGACCATGGCCCTACTATTTATTGATTGAAAAGTCGCTTCTGTTAGAAGCATCATAGTTGATAAAGAGAGCTTTTGATACTAGGACCATTTGGTGTGTTCCTAGGTTGTGTAAGTAGTAGGATACATTTGATAATGAGATTTTTTGGTGTCTTTTGTCGATATGGGCTTTGGTATGTACAAAGGATGCATTTTGTTTGTTTACTTTCGAATCATATGGACTCTGATCAAAGTTACGATGTTTTTTGTTGGGCTTTGCAGATCTCATTCAGAAACTTGTAAGTAATGGCAAACAGCTTTTAGCCGTTAAATTTAGTTATGAATTTAAGCTGACTGACGAGTTCCCACCAGTTCCCCTCTTGAAAGACTATGTGAAGGAATCCAAGAAAATCGCTAAGAAAGTTTGCGAAGAAGGAAAAAACTCCCTCAAATCACAGGTAATTTCTTATTCCTTTTAAAGAAAGCTAATTTATGAAGTTCAACACCAATAGTACCTGCAGGTATACATTTGTTGTGTTCCTTTGCAGAATGAGGCCACAGCCAAGGAAACTAGTGCTTTGAAAGCAGTGATAAAAATTATTGAGGAGCACGAGCTTGAATCTGAGTATCCAAAAGAGTTTCTTGAGAAGCAAATTGAGAATCTGGAGAAGCAGAAGGCAGACAGAAAGCGTCCTGCACCTACTGCTACTGCTTCAAAGTCTTCTCAGCCACAACATCATCCAACAAAGCAGCAGCAAGGAAAAGCGAAGCAGAAGCAGCAGAGTGGACACAAGCGTCCTCGAGCAGATGCTTCATTGGGTCCTACACCATTTGCAAAGATTTTCAGGGGAGCAAATTCATCTCTTCTCTCATACCAACCATCTCATTTCCAGTCGACAGGTTTGTCGGCAGATGATCCCGCTCCATATGCGAGCTCATCAGCTGCACCTTATGGCATGTCAGGCCTTGTTCCATCAGCTAACCCTTATGCGGGTTCGTCAGCTGGGGTATATGGTTTGGAAGGAACCCCAAGGGGTGTTCATGGGAACCCAACTTTAGCTGGTTTCCGTTCATACACAACCGAACCATATGAGCAATCTGCCTATTATGACAGGCCAACTTCCTATGGTCATGGTGGATATGGTTTACCACCCCAATACCATCAAGCTTACTTTCCCTCTTAGTGTTTGGTGCTTTTTGTGTCTTTGATAGTACTTTTTTGGATGGCAAAATAGATTTTGCCATTTTGGTGATGGTGGCTATCGGAAGGCATAGTTTGCGTTTTTGATCCACCTGATTATCGGTACAGCAGCTAGATTTGGTGACTAAGATATGTGATTGCTTGTTTGTTCTCACATGTCTAATTATTTAACCAGTTTTCTTTTGCCAAGATTTTTCTGACAATCATAATCGTTATATCCTTTCATGGGGCATTTGGAACGTAGAACAGCAGGTAGTAGAACAGCTTGTCAAATGGTATTTCTGGTTTTGCACCAATTGCTGTGAAGTGTCCTTGTTTAGTGTATCAACCTTTTAATCCGCTCGACTTTCCCACTTTAATTTCTTGTATTTAAAAAGAAAAGCATGTCTTGGCATCTTGCGGGGGCCAGAAGAAAAGTTGCCTCTATTTCTAAATTGAAACGTGGTACAATGGAACCTTGAATCTCCTGCTCTGCTCATGCGATGGGGATGTCTCTATTTCTATATTAGAACTAAACAAAATTTTGGTTTCAGTTTGATCACCTTAGACTTTTAGTAGTTAAAGGTCGTAGTACAGTGAGTGTTTTATAGTTAAGAACTAGGATATCAGATTGGATTTTTATCTGTTCTTGACATTTGGAGACGTTTGTTTCTTATATTCGTTCTTGATTCTGAATCATGATTCATGGTTCTCTACAGTGTTTTTCTCTCACAAAAAATACACATTATGATTCTGAATACATAAATCAAACGTCCTCTTATCTGAAGGATGAGTTTATGTTTTTGCTGCAAACGCAACTTAAACAAAATATATTTTTATGTTTTTTTTCCTCCCGTCTCTTAATTCTCTTTTGGCTAAGTTAGAATTTTTCGGATTGTACGAGCATTCTATTACTGTTTTTCTGGGAATTTTTGTTTTCCCTGTAATGATTTCCAGTCTGGCTGCTGATAGATTTATTGGCCTAGGGAAGTTTTTCTTCCTCAAGCAAGCCAATTGGTTGTTGTGTCAAATTCATCTTTTTGTCTGGGCACCCAACTTCTAATCCAGTTGTTGCCCATTTATTTTTCACCCATTTGAAAAATTTTATGCCCATATCATTTAAGCTTGCTCAACAGAGTCATGTCAAGTCATGATTTATTCCAAGTCAAGTCATGATTGTTGCTTGACTATTGATTAAGGGTCCGTTTGTTTCATATACTCAAACTCAAATTATTGATTCTGCTATACCGTTTTTCTCTCACAAAATATATAAATTTCAAACGTTAGAATTAAAAATCATGATTTGAGTATACATTCCAAACGGAATTTAAGTCTTTTTATTGACCTTGTTAGAATGTACTTTATAAGCACATTATGTATGCCATTATAATGTAAATTGTAAGTTTATTTTTCTTGTACAATCTGCTTTATGGTTATTTGCTGATTTATTTTGAATGAAACAGACCGTTTGTGGTGAGAGAATCACTGTGGTCCTTTTTAGTCACATTATTGTAGTCATAACTATTTTTATTGCCTATCATTAAATGTGATGCTTAAAAATACAATTATGATTGAGAACAACTCCTGGACTATCTGCTTCAGGACTTCAATTCGGTTGTAGCAATTAAATTCTGTGAAACCAATAATAATAATAATTATTATTATTATCATTATTATCATCATTATTGTTGGTTTGTTTTCTTTTTTGGCTAATAATATCATTATTGTTGGTTGGAAGTTTTAAATTCATGCATCTCACAGTTAATACCTGTCTACCATGAAAATCAATGTGGGGGCAATATATGTGTCATTAGTTATTGAAGCAGAAGATTACCCCTCTATATACTCTATAGTACTAGTTTTGGTGAACAAAATCATGTTTTGTCTTTAATGAAGAAATGAAGCATTTCTATATCTGCTTATGGAGGCTTAAATAAGGATTCAAAGTCTTAATTCAGCTTAATGTAGATTAATTTATTCTAGTTGATCAAAAGGTTTATCCCCTCAATAAGTAGGGTGGACTTTGGTCAATGTTAATTGAATATGTCTTGGACTCTTGGTTCACTGAAAAAGAAAATAGTCCAATAGTTTTTTCCTTTTTTTTTTTTAAAGGAAAGAAATTTAATTCATGAGTAAATTTCTTGAGTTTTAGGTTTTTACAGTAAAAAATTCTCAAAAAATGTTACATCTAACTTTTTCTGCTACAGTGAAAAGCTTTCAGAAAATATTACATCTCAGTTCGAATTGAAAACTCGAATCCGCAAAGTGAATGAGGTCGCTTGCTCAGTTTGAATCATTTATTTGTGGTTTTATTTAATTAATTAATTAATTTTTTTCATTTAAGGCGTTTGAAGATTGTAGTTTCCTTTTCTTGTATTGTCAATTATTTGAAGCATTTAACTGTGTCATCAATGAACATAGACGTGGAAACCTCATTTGGAATCACACTAATGGATGAAATAATTAGTGGGCCTACCAAGCAAGACAAAAACTAATACAATTAAACAAAAAGAGAAGCATGGAAATAGTATACAATATGTTTCTTGCTCTCTTTCTCCTTTTGTTTTCAAAATTTAGGAATTTAATACTTGACAATTTTTATTTTTATTTTTATTTTTTGAACTGACATATTTTGGTCCTTAATTGAGATACAACCAATGACATCCCAAAGTTGGTTGCAACTTTAATACAAATTGGATATGAACCTTCCTCCACAATTTTCAGTAGAAATAATGATCAGATTTTTTAGGAACCACCCCCACTAAATGATAAGGGTCTCGTTCACTTCGCGGATTCGAGTTTTCAATTCGAATTGAGATGTGACATTTTATTAGAGTTTTTCACTGTAGCAGAAAAAAATTAGATGTGACATTTTCTGAGTGTTTTTTACTGTAGAAATCTAAAACTGAAAACTCAAATCGGTGAAATGAACGAGACCAAGACCTTTTGTGGATGGTTCAAGCTTGCAACTCGACCGTTATAACTTAAAAACCTTAATGAGAGGATCTTGATAAGCTTCTCAACAAAACAAGAAAAAGGTTTGGCCTCGAGAATTCCATAACTGCAATGAGCTTCTTTACAAAAATGTTTAAAATTATTTTTGGTGCAGTTTTGAAATAGCATAATAGGGAATTTTAAAAGAACGATGTTTTGGTAAGGGAAAAAAAAAAAAACCCACAATTTTTTCATTAATTTCGTTCTCTATGATTATCTAACACATGGAATTATTCACCGCCATAAATTCATATATTTCTCGCAACAAGAACTTTATTAAATAATATCACCATATTTACATAGCACTAACCCTAGAGAGATAACGAGAGAAAAAAAATACTGATTCTGAATTACAATTTTAAATCAATATTGATTTTGAATTAAGATTCTAAATCTATCTATTAAACGCGCACTAAGTGTTTATTGTAATAGGCGACTGCATGAGTATACATTGATTTATATATTTTTTTATTTTTAAAACGAAAATAAGAATTACATTTGGTTGTTGGCTCAACCACACACGTGATGGGCCTGTTCACTTTGCTGATTCGGGTTTGTAATTCGAGTTGAGATGTGATTTTATGTGAGAGTTTTTTACTGTAGTAAAAAAGTTAAATGTAACTGTTTATGAGAACTTTTTACTATAATAAAACTCAAATTTTAAACTCAAATCGATAAAGTGAACGGACCGTAAAATTTGTAAAAGATTTGTTATAATTTCCTCGTATAGTTCAACACAACTTTTTTGGAGTTTTGTACAAAATATGCCATAGTACATGTTTTTAAATATTATTTTTTTTAAATCACGGCAAATCAGTAAGAGTATGTGGAATAAAAAAACAATGCAAATATATGGTTCAAAACAATATCTCAGAGCCCGTTTGGTTGAAAGATTCATTCTTTGATTTGAATTATAGTTCATGATTTATTATATTATTTTTTCTCATAAAAAATACACATAAATTAAAAATAATTTTAATCTCATAATTCTAATCTAGGAATTAAACGGTTCGATACTTTTTATACGGTCATATCCTGAGTTAAAAAATATCGTAACCCAACAAATATGTACACTGTTTAATCATGCTATTAGAGAACATATTATTGTGTATTACTAATATCAAAGATTCCGAATAGTGGTAATTGTTTCCAATGTATTGAATCTTAAAATACAGGTCATAATTCTTAATTCATTTTATCTATTTAAATTTTTAATTTTAATTTTATTATAAATAAAAATTATCATATAAAATTACACGAATTAAAGGAGGCCTCAATAATTCATCATTATTTCACAATTCACCCCAGTGCGGCTTTGCTTTGGGTTTTGATACAAAACACAACAAAAGAGAGAGAAACGCCAAAACGAACTGTAGCTGTTAAACCATCAATCAATCTAAACAAGAAAGAAGAAGAAGAAGAAGGAAGAAACGTTTAAAATGATAACCCAATGACACTTCTTCACTTCTCTCTCCTCAGATCCAACTCCATAAGTCAACTCTCTCTCTCTCTCTCTCTCTCTCTCTTTCTCTCACTTTCCCTCATTTTCTCTCTGACGATTCCCACTTCCCAAACAGAAAAAAAAGAGAGGGGAAAAATCTCATACATAATCATAATCTCATCTAGCTCACACGCAAAACAGAACTGAACAGAAACCCGTTAAATGACCATTTTACCCCTCTCTTTCTCCTCCAACAAGCTCAACACGGGCAAGATATTTTTTCTTCTTTGACTCTCTCTCTCTCTCTCTCTCTCTAAAGGACTTGTTGGAAGAGCTTTGATGGCCGACGAGAAGGTCCGTCGCCGGAGCTCTGATGAGGTGGATCCAAGGACGGCGGAGCTTCACGACCAGTTCGGCGGAGGCGGCGGTGGCGCGAAGTACAAGCTCTTGTCGCCGGCGAAGCTCCCGATCTCAAGGTCTCCCTGCCTCACGATTCCACCGGGGCTTAGTCCGTCGTCTTTCCTGGAATCTCCGGTTCTGCTCTCCAACATGAAGGTCAGGTTCGGTTTTGCTCGGATCGGGTTATTGTAATAATTTTTAATTTGTGTTTGTTTACTGAGAAAATTGAAAAAGGTTCGAGAAAGGAAAGGGAATGAAAGAAAAGGCTTCTTTTTTTTTTTTTGAATTAAGGCAGTGTTTGGCTGCTCGGCTTAGTGAGCTAACAGGAAACAAGATTTTCTTTTTTCCTTTTTATTTTTTATTTTGGTAAAGAAAGATTTTGAATTGAATTTGAATGCGAGAGGTTCTGTTTGGCTGCTGAGAGAAGCGGATTCATTCATTCAACAAAGGAAAGTGGTGGAAATAGAACCTCTTGAAGTTATTCTGCTGAATTTTTGAACGTTATTCAAAAAAACAAAAAAAAATCTATATTCTCTTGCACTTTCTCAGTGACCAAACAGGATGAACTCGTGTCGCCCATCTCTAGTTTCATGATTCGTGAGCTTGCCGCGTGTTGTGTGTTCGTTCTCTTCTGTAGTGGAGAATTTGTTTTGCTCAAATGGTGATGTGATTTTGATAATAAGTGAGCCAAAAAGATGCTCTTTGTTTTATCAAAGTTGGGAAATTCGGATTACTGTTTTTGTTTCTAGCGTCGAAAGTATTAGTACCCTCATTCAAAAATTGGAAAATCTTTTCTTTTGCTTTGATCCATATGGCCTATTAGATTTTAATGTATGATTTTACTCACACTGGGACCCCAAGATTCTGATGCTTGTGATTAGAGTATTGCTAGTATTGGGGGTTCTTTTCTTTATGCCCGTATAGAGTGTTCCATCGTGTTGCTTTCAATTATGCTCCTCTTTCTTGCGTAGAACTCTGTATCTTTCCTCCTTTTTTATTCTCAGTGTTGTTTTTTCACATAATGAATCTTCTTGTTTTGTTGTTGGTGCTTGTGACTCTTTTTTTTTATCCTTGTTTAACGGTGTCAGTGAATGTACGGCGAAAACTTTCCATTTATTTATGTAGAATATGGAATAAATGCATCAGCAAGAGGAATGCAACTTGTTTTTTTTTTTTTGAAAAAAAAAAATGTGCCAGAATGAGTGACAAGATGAAGAGGAAGGCTGGACGGGATGTGGGTCATGCATGAATGATGCCCACAAAAGAAATAAGAGCCTGTGATTGCATATGATACAGACTTTGATTGTACTGAATATAACGATTTTATTGCACCAAGTTATATAAATAATCAATATAAAGGTTGTGCTTTCGTCCATCCATAGTGGGTTGTTTTAAAAATAATTTTTTTGGACCTTTGGTATGTAGTTTTGCTAGAGTTTCTTGGTTCTCTGAGATGATTAGCCAAGTTCAAACTCACCAATCAGGAAAAAGAGTACCTAGAGTTTCCTGCTATTAAATAGATGTAAAGCAGTTTTCTGAAGAATGATTGAGTATTGATCAAATTTGGGGCTTTTCGGTGAATGGGATGATTCAATGAGTCTGTACCTTCTTTTACTGTTTTCCTTGCTTCTGTTTCATTGAAGAAGTTATTTTCTCTGTGCTTTCTTTTTTGTGAGATTTCTCTTTCTTTTTCCCTACACTTGTTTTCACTGATTGATAGAGAAGGCGTTTGGATCAGATTTCTGAATTTCTGTGCTTTCGTGTGGTTTGCAGGCAGAGCCTTCCCCAACTACCGGTTCCTTCTTTAAGGCTCAAATGGCACAGGGCTCGGCTACATATTCAGCAACTGCAGTTTGCTCAAATATTAGTACGTCTGACATAATGAACTCGAGCTCCTTCGAGTTTAAACCCCATGCTACATCAAATATGGTAATTTCCTTTTGATATTTTGTTTGAGTTGTTTTGATATAGCATTAAAATTTCCTTTAAAATATAAAGAGAGATCTGAGTAGGCAAGTGTGTTATTCCAGTTTTTGTAATGAAATGGATATATTACGATGCAGGCAGATTTTTCATTCAAAAGCTAACTCTGATGGATTGATTATCTTTTTAGGATCTCTTATTTATTTCCCGTTAGTAACTAGTGGCTTGATTACCATGCTTTTACTCTTTTGTTCACTGCTCATAATTCTCTTAATTTAATATCTGTTGTTTTTCCTCGATGCAAAAGAAGCCGCTGAGAGGTTGGTTAGAGCTAGTCACGCGCAACCACGTGCATTGAATTTGGAGTACTGATGCCGTTATTTGAGCTAATATTTTTCATTTATTGAAGGTTACTACAGATCCAAATTACAAGAGAAGTGACCAGTCTATGCAAGTCCAAGTTCAATCTCGATCGTTGGTGTCAGTACCTTCAGTTAAAAGTGAGATGACAGCCACCTCGAATGAGTTGAGTTTATTGGCACCAGTTAGCATTGCTACATCAGGAGCTAGTGCACCTGCTGATGGCGATTCCGATGAACTAAACCGCAGGGGTCATCCTAATTCTGGAGTCCAGACTGCACAATTTGACAATAAAGGAAGTGGACCTTCAGTTATATCTTCTGATGATGGGTATAACTGGAGAAAGTATGGACAAAAGCATGTGAAAGGAAGCGAATTTCCTCGTAGCTATTACAAATGTACCCATCCTAACTGTGAAGTGAAAAAGCTGTTTGAGCGTTCTCACGATGGACAGATAACAGAGATTATCTACAAGGGCACACATGACCATCCTAAACCTCAACCTAGTCGGCGATATAACCCCGGTAGTATTATGTCCTCTCAGGAGGAAAGATCTGACAAGTTTTTGGCTATAACCGGACGTGAAGGTAAGGGGGAAAAAGTTGAACTACATTGTTTAATTTCTTTGAAAAGATTCTCCTAGTGAAAGAAAGTGATTGACTTCTTTGTGCATGTTTCTTTTTCCAATGTAGACAAGTCTCAGAACGTATATGGACAAACATCTAATACCAATGACCCAAATGGTACTCCAGACCAATCTCCTATAGCTACAAATGATGATAGTGGAGATGCTACAGGAAATAGGATTCATGATGACATAGATGATGATGATCCATTCTCAAAGCGGAGGTATGGAATATCTAGTAGAGGCTTTTTACTTTTCTGTATTTGTACATTTAGCCTAATGAATGAACTATCAAAAATGTTACTTAAACAGGAAAATGGACATTGGAAGCCTGGATATAACCCCAGTGGTTAAGCCTATCAGGGAACCGCGTGTTGTTGTTCAAACTCTGAGTGAGGTCGATATATTGGATGATGGGTACCGTTGGAGGAAATATGGCCAGAAAGTGGTGAGGGGAAATCCTAATCCAAGGTATGCTTTCACTTTAATGGTTTGGCACTTGAGGTTCATTTGCATCTTAATACCATTTTCAGAGCATCTGTCTTGTATATCGTTCCCTTTTTGGCACTAAATAATGCTTAGGGTCCCAAATGTTATCCCACACTTTTAGAACTAACTGACATGCCATATGGTTGTCAATCTTTAATTTGATAGGTATATAAAAATTGTTATGTCAATTATATTAAAAAGTTACCTTTGCAAATGGAAAGATGACGACTCACCTGTCACGTGAGGGCATGTGTGTTTGTATAATTAAGTCGGGAGCCCTAGCACTATTCTTTTTGGCTATGTTCGAATTTTAAAGGAATCAACTTTCAGACCCCATTTACATTTTTCCTAAATATGCATTTCCATGTTGTGCAGGAGTTATTACAAATGCACAAATGCTGGATGCCCTGTTAGAAAACATGTCGAGAGAGCATCCCATGATCCAAAAGCAGTTATAACGACATATGAGGGAAAACATAACCACGATGTCCCAACTGCGAGGAATAGTAGCCATGACATGGCAGGATCAATGGCTGCGAGTGTCCCAGCAAGAATTAGACCAGAAGAAACCGACACCATTAGCCTTGATCTAGGGGTTGGAATTAGTTCTGCTGCTGAGAATAGATCCAACGAGCACCTGCCAACCACACATTCTGAACTTGTGCAAAGCCAGGCTCACAACTCCAGCTTAAATGTAGTCCAAGCAGGTCAAGTTCCTGCATTCTATGGCATCTTAAGTAATAATTTGAACCAATTTGGATCCAGAGAAAACCTAGGCGAGGGCAGGAGTATCCAAATTCCATCTTTGAACCATTCATCGTATCCATATCCTCAGAACATGGGTAGAATCCTAACGGGTCCGTAAAATTGCCTAGAGAGAGAGCTGCAAAAATAAAGATTCTTTTTCCCTTTTCTTTCGCTTCCTATTCCCCTTCTTTTCGGGCGGGGAAATGTCGAAAAGGCAAGTTTCTTGATCTCAAATGTTGTATTCATGAATTCTTATGTACGAGGTGCCTTGTGGCCATAAGCCAATTGCCTTTGAGTTGGAACTACTTGTTGTGTAACATTAGCTTCTTTGGGGAATACGTTGTACAAATATGAATTAGTACTGATATTTATATATTCTGACAGGAAATATATTGTAACTTGAGTGTTTGAAATATGCAGTATCTGGAAGAAACTACATCATTTTAGTCTTCTTAATAGACACACATCTTCCTGTTTCTGCACTCAAAACAAGTAAACTGTTCTTAAGATTACTGTGACCAGTGTTTTTAAGTAGGACTTTTTTTTTTTTTTTTTTTTTTCAGGTATGGCCAGTTTTTAACTCTTTAATATGGTAAAAATCACATAGATTAAAAAAGTACGAAGAATAGATAATTTTTAATTAGATCCGACACTAAAAAGTAAACACCTATAGGTAGTTTTTAACTGTTGCAAGTTCACGCGAACAAAGCTAATTTGTATTGTATTGTACCCGGCATATCATTAGTCTTAAATGTTAACACTGACAATTGTTCTTCAAGTCAACTATTTGGCTCTCTACTTACAATATACAAGGAGAAGATAAATTGTAGATTATTATTATTATTACTTCTATGAAGTATAAGAAAGGGTGGATCAACATTAGAATATCTCCAAAGACAGGCGCTAACAGAAATATTTGTTAAAAGGTTTTATCATTAATAAGAATACGTTATTTCAATCCTACTGAATGCATTCTCGGTAAAGATAGGTGAAACATTGATACGTATACTTTAAATTGAGTACTAGATTGGCTGGCAACGAATCTTCATATTTAAGACCTTAAAAGAGAGTCACTTAATACTTAAAGTCGATAGTCCATTATCGCTAAGTCACCCTATTTAAGAGAGAGACGGAAGAGAATCCCAAATCTACTTTTTGTCTTGGGGCAAATGAAACAACTTGGACAAGTTGGGAATTGAGAATCTAACCAATTCCCATTTTTGTTTTTGTACTGCATTTTTGTCTAGAAAGGACAGTAGCGCAAAAATGGTAAATTTCGTGAAGATTGCTTTGATTCTTTTGCAGTAGAATCCTATATGTGTCTACTTTTCCAGCAAAAAAAAAAAAAAAAAAACTGTAAATGTCCTTTTGGTTCTTGAATAGGACAATTGTCTCCCCATTAGACTATAAATGCACCTGTTCATAAAAGACAAATGGAAATTATTTCACCAATTTGTTTTTTGTTCGGTTAAGATTGCAAATATAATGAAGCCACGTTATGGCCCGAGCCTCCACCGGAGCTTAATCCTTAGCTGACCCTTCAAAATTTTGCAAAAATTATGTATTGAATACTCCAAGGCAAAATGTAATAATCAGATTTTTAGGAAAAAATTGGATCCTTCTGTTTTAAGCCGTTACATCTGTATAATATTTTATCAGTCTTATGTTCAAAAACATGCACAATGAAAAAGTATTCCCTACTATAAAATGTTCATCTAATTATTAAAACAACATATTATATGTGAAGGTACAATAAAAAATGAGCAAAAACTGAGTGCATATGTATTGTCCACTTTTGACTGTTCTCCAAAGTACCATTATCATGCCATCCAAATTTAAGAATATGATCACACAATATTATATACTAAAACTTCTTAATCAATTAAATAAGTTGGCAAAATAGAACTAGATCTGAAAATGCTAAAATCAATATACTTGCAAATTTTTTTTTTTTTGTTAATCAATATACTTATATTTAAGGGTCTGTTTACTTTATTGATTTGAGTTTTTAATTCCAGTTGAGATGTGACTTTACGTGACCCCTTACACAATTACCTCATTTCGTACAATTTTTTCTCCTTTTGGTCTAAAAAGAAAACTTGGGTTTAACAATCGAGTGCTTGGAATAGTAGTTTCCGGATGGGGATTAAAGAAAACTTTATGGGCAACTTGCTTTCAAAATGAGAGTAGTTTCTGTTAAGACCATGATGAAAGTCCAACTTTATCGAGTAAAATGAAGTCAATCATTAGATAATTTGAAGAACTTTGTTGGACAAAATAATGAAAACTGGGATAATTTACTGTGGATCTATAATTTTGAAAGAGAAACAAGGCACAATACAACACTACGATCCCACATTAAAGCATGAAAACGTGACCTGAAAATTGAAAGAAAAAGACGAGGACCCCCCACATAATTTATAAACGTTTCTGTGGCAAGTCACAACAATACAAGAGTAGTGACAATGAACCACACTAGATTTTGGGACAGTAAACTTTGCTGCGTTAGACCACCAGATCCAGCAAATGATTAGAGATACTTTTTTCTTTTTTTGGGATTCAGAGATTGAAAAGGTGAGAGAGATATACCAAGCTTAGCTAGAACTTGGAGAGAGAGAGAGAGAGAGAGAGAGAGAGACATGAGTGCAATGTGGTTGTACTTGAAGGAGAATGTGAAGTGTGGAACTAAGCTTTCTGATGTGCTAAACGGTGTACCAGAAACATGTAGAAACAGAAAGAGCATGAATGTGAAGTGTGAAACTAAGCTTTCTGATGTGCTAAACGGTGTACCAGAAACATGTAGAAACAGAAAGAGCATGAATGTGAAGTGTGAAACTAAGCTTTCTGATGTGCTAAACGGTGTACCAGAAACATGTAGAAACAGAAAGAGCATGAGTTCAGCAGAGGAGAACTTGGTCTTGGATAGTCAGCTTGTTCATCCCTTCGCAACTCCTATTCGAGAACTCATTTTCAGGCAAAACTACAGCCAAACACGACTTTACGGTTGGTGTTTCTTCTTATGGCTTCATTTTTCTGTAACATCATGCTTTTGAGCCTTAAATGTAAAGTCAATGGTTGAAGAAGAATGTTCAATGACTATTTGTTATGGTTTTTGGGAAAATGACAAGTACTTGTTTGTTTTACTACTTTCTCAGAGATGGAAATTGGAGACCCGTCAAGGAAAATAATTGAGATAATCTTCAAAAAAGCATCAATGGATCCCGCAAGGCCAGCAAGCAGCAGGATAAAAAGCGTTCTAAGAGTGAAGAACTCAATTCAGACGCTCGAAAGGTTTGAGAAGCACAGAGAGAAGGTGAAGATGATCGCATATGAGGGATACAGGAAGCATCCAAGAAGCATGGTGGATGGAAACGAGCTACTCAAGTTCTATGGAACAACAATGGCCTGCCGAAGTCAAAGGTCAAAGCGAGTCTCTGAGCTTTGTAAGAACCCAACTTGTAGAGTCTGCAGGACACTTCAATCTCATTTCGGCATAGAACACGCGTTGAGTGTCGGGATTCAGTTGAGCTCAAGTAGCGAGGATTTCAGCAAAAATGTGATTCCCTTTACCAAGATGAAGAACACGGAGAGGGCGGTGATAGTTTGCAGAACCATTGCAGGAAGCTTGGTTAATGTCAACAATGGGGAGTGTAATGAGTATGATTCAATTGGAAACCAAAACTATAACTCGGGTAATGTAATAGTGTGTAATCCTAGTGCTGTACTTCCTTGTTTTGTCATAGTTTTCAACTAAACTGTAATTTTTGTACATGAAATCAAGTTTACCCCACTAGAAATACAATTACCTCTATCAATCAGATTCAGCCTTTATTAGTACTCACGAAGTATTTGTTCTCATTCCACGACAGAAATGTAAAATTACAATAAAGTTAAACTATGATATAAGAAGCGTAAAAACGCTAACTTGATGATTATTCCCTATGTGTTTCTAGTAACAACACCTATAACTAAAGTACAAAAGATGGGACAAAAGGGAAAACAAAAAGGTCAAAGGTACAACTGATAACAGAAGACATTTTACTACGAGATTCTACATCTTGAAGGCACCTAAGACTTGCAAACAAGCACGAGCTACGATTAGTTTTTCACCGCCATGCACACGAGGCGATCAGAGCTTTATCTATCCACCCAAGATATAGAGCCCCATCTCTCTCTTCAAGTGTAAACTTGTCGTTGTAATTCCGCAGCAGGGCCCTAATAGTAGCATTTACTAATGGGCTTAATGGGTGAGGTCTAAACCCTGCCATAGTGAACCTCGATCTCCACTTACCAAGCAGCTCGTGACGTTCTACTCTCTCAAGCCCCTCACATGCTATCAAGTTAACAATGTCTCTTGCCAGACAGTGCTGCTCGACGTTGATCCGCTCTTTGTTATCTCTCGGCAGAGTCACATCTATCGTCTCAAAACAAGCCAGGTAATAGTTCAGTGTCTCAACAAAACGAGGATAGAAAGGGGCAGTATTGGTGTTGGCCTCTTGCTCAACAAGGGTCACAACCTTTGGAGACAAGCTCTTTGCCAGCCTGATAAGCCTGTCTCTGTGATTCTGACTGCTCACGCTTTCATCTGGCATGTGGTGCAGCATCAAGGCAAAGTTCACCGCACTTGCCTCACCGGGTCGAACTCCAAGGTCCTCAAGTTGAACCTCGGTAGCACGAGTTTCAACAGCATGGAACTCAAAGGGCACTTTACATGCCTCTGCAATTCTTGATAACCTCATTCCCACAACTTCAAGCCCCCCTCCCCTTGCATAAGCTGATGTAGAATCGTCTATGCCAGTGATCCTGATTTTCGGGGGCCCACCAGGCCTGGTGGCGAGAGCGTGGATTAGGATCATCCACTGAGTGCCCTGAACTATCTGGAAATCAATTATATGAACTACACTTTCATCCTTCATAGCTTCAGCTATTGCGCCATTTGCCGACATATAGCCAAACTTGATGCAGGGGCAGATTTCATAGAGTAAATGCATATATGAGAAAAGTTCAGCACCAGCAGGCTCTTTGCATCTCAAGGATTTGTAGATTGAACTTCCTGAACATGCGAGCTTTGCAACAAGACCTTCCACCATGTAAGCTCCTAAACGTTGAACCGGATCACCAGAAACTGACACCATCAGGCGCAACTCCGAGATCAACCATTCAGTTGTTAAGATGTCATTATCACCTAGCACTTTGGCACAAATGCAAAGCAGCCCTCTCAAGTCGCCTCGAGAAATCATCTCTGTGATTTGTTTCCAACTTTCTCCGTCTAAAGAGCTTTCCTTATACTCGACTTGATTGTACATGTTGTACATGTCAGGGATGTCTGAATCGATTCCCAGCATAGCAGTTTCCAATTCCCTTATTTTGTGCCTCAAGTCATCAGCATCGTCCGTTAAGCAAGAATGATTGAATGGAGATACGCAAGCATTGTCAGGAGAATGATTCTGATCTATGGGGTATGACTGTGTTTCCGGCTGTGATGATGGACTTCCACTGGGTGAAAAACTGACAGAAGATGAAGAATTCTGACCAGGGTGAGTACCGGTTCCAGAGGATGATTCAAGGGTGCAGTACTGTTCAAAAACTTTGCTTGAAAGATGGGCTTCTTGGTTACCTTTAGCAGAACCTGTAAGATCGTTCGATTTCTGGGTTGGAGGCCAACAGCAGGCCTCTGGCTCTTTCACTTGCTGCTCACAGAACCTGAGAGTGCCATTTGAAATTCTATAACTCTGTGATTCTTTCATGTTAAGAATAGCCAATTCTTTGATTAGTCACAACCTGGGAAAACTCGGGAGTGCCACTGCAAAACTTGGCAATTGATGTGGAACAAGTGTTGCCAAAACTTAACTGGCAACTAGCTTTCTTCTTGTGAATGAAAAACCTTGGTTGCTTCAAATTGAGCAATTATATCAAACTCATTTTACTAGTAAGCGATTAATCTAGCTTGGAATGGATGTTTGGTCAAAGGGCGACATCTCCTGCAAAAGAAAAAGAAAAAAGAAACTTAAGAAGATTTCCTTGGAAAGCAAGTATCAACTATCACAGAATTATGTTAAAAAACCACAACACAGTTCCCTTTTTCCTTTCAAAGACAAATAAAAGGAGAAGGAAAGAAGTCAGTTAGACCTTTGAGAAATGAATTCACAGCCATGACAACTAGAAAGTGATAAACGTCCTCACATGTATGCCACTTGTAAAAACATGCGTCAAAGATGACTTTGTTGAACGAACAAATGAATCTATTTCCGAAACAAAAAGCCGATTAACATTAATTGAAGAATGCCTAATTTATTGATCTCATAGTTTAGGCATTCCTATAATCAATGTTTATCATCTTTCAGCTTTCTAGAAGAAATCTATGAGACCACAACCAAAGGGGAGAAGTCAAACTTATGCGTTAACAATGACGTCACCACTTAGGTCAGATTATGACATGCCAACACCCAACACCTCTCGATAATTTCTTATGGCAAGTTGTTCATGTCCAAATATTGGATAGATTTCAATATGAATCTTCTTTGCCAAACACGCAATCATAAGAACAAAGTCATCAAACTAATGGCAATAAAACCCATTGAAATTCTTCATCCAAATTCCAAGAAAGAGTTCCTATAAAACTTGGAACACTAAAAACAAAAATTTATGCCTGCCCATGAATGTAAACGCATTACAAACGTGGAATGCATTGTTGATTGATGACTAGTCAACACAACCCACCGACCAAAAATAGAAACAAACATAAAATTTTTAAATATTTTGAGTTGAATACTCTGAAATTCTGCTTATAATCACAAAGTTAATGATACTGGATAAACATTAAACAAGCATTATCCAACCAATAAATGGACACTAAAAAGTTTTAAGCACAAAAAGATTAAACCCAGTAAGGTGCCAAAAAACATGAATCAACAGCTTAAAAAAAACAAAATTATCACCAAAAAGTACACTCATTTCATGTTAGACAAGCCTAATCTTATCACAAAAAAGAGTAAAGCTGAAAACTTTACAAAACTACGAAAAACAGTACTCCAAAGGAATTAACTTGAGGAAAAGAAAGATTAAAAGTCACTAACAAGGAATTTGGTGAAAACCCATTTGAGTTCCAACATCAAATTACTGGAATTTAGACAAATACCTGTGATGAAAGATGATTAAAGTGTTGGTATTTCGTGTTCTTCTTTTGCTTTGCTTCAGAGTCCAAACAACGATCCAAAAGGCCGTTGAGAAAACATTTTTTGGTCCCCCCTTTACCTAATAAAAGAATCTCAATCTCCTCTTTATAAAAACGCTTTCTTGAGAAAAGACCTTATTCTTTCCTATAATTACACAACCGACATGAAAAAGTGAAGAACTTATTCCAGCTTTCTGCGCTGATTAGTCATTTTATTGAGATCTGTGAAAATACCAAAGTACCCTCCACCACCCTCCACCGATGAATTTCATCAAATCATTTTTTTTATAATTAATTTCATCAAATCTTTTTTCCTCTTGAATTATGATTTATCTAATATCCGCGTCATTAAAATTACAAGAAAAGGCCCATTTTCATTTTTTTCCTGTAATTTATTTCTACCATTAGTGTGCATTTCTAAATATTAAAAATAATAAAAATATATACATAATTGATGAACAGTTCAAAATAGTAGCCTATTTAGTAAATTAGTTATTTATGGCCCGTTCATCTCATCGATTTGAGTTTAGAATTTGAGTTTTATTACAGTAAAAAGCTCTCAGAAACAGTTACATCTAATTTTTTTGTTACGGTAAAAAATTCTCACATAAAATTACATCTCAATTCGAATTAAAAACTCGAATAACGAACTAAACGGGCCCTAATACTTTACCAAAGAGTTTTCATATTTTCAGGCAACAAATCAAGTGATAGCCTCTACCGAGGAAAAAAAAGTACAAACTTTACCAAGCATTTGAACACAAAAACACGGTTTCACACATAACAAATATGTGGATGACACTAAAAGTGGACTGTGTTATGTAGTGATCAAATATAATTTGTTTTTTTTTTGTTAGTGTCACAATCATATATTACGCGGTTATACCAATTATGTTCTGTTGCGCCAAGTTATGAATGTTTTCCTTTCACCAAGCTTATGAAGTGCAGATAAAAGGAGTCATTCTAGACCAAATTTGCAAATTTAGAAATAGAAACTGCCATAACTAGTGTATGTATATATGTGTGTGTGTATATATATATATATCGAAGACCTCGATATCAGAAATAAATATAGAATTACCGCTAAATTAAGGCTACAATTACCTTATTCGAATTCTTTGGATTCTTATACATAATGTAGTGAAACAGTTATTAGACCTTTTAATTGCAAACAAAAGCTATAAAGTATGAAGTATGTATGTCTTATTAGTTAAATTGCTAAGAAGGGCATTTTGGAAGACAATGGTGTAATGATGGTCAATCATCCCAACGTGGGTGTTTGGCCCACACGGTTTTAGCAGTAAAATCTCAAAGTTTTTACACTTTTATTTTCTTAGTAGTTGGACTTGGATTGGGAATCACACTTTTGGCTCTTCTAATTTTAAGTGCCATTGTCCAACATATATCCATCACTCTAAATAGTACACAACTTTAGCTTTACATCACCCCTAGATTTTCTGTTATACTTTTAGGTCTCGTTCGCTTAATAAATTTGAGTTTTTAATTTAAGTTAAAATGTAATATTTTTTAAGAATTTTTAACTGTAGTAGAAAAAATTAGATATGACATTTTTTTGAGAGCTTTTAACTGCAAAAATTTAGAATTAAAAACTCGAATTGGTGAAATGAACGAAACCTTAATAAAACAAGATCGAATCTACATTCTTCCTCTAAGCTTCATTCCACTTGAACTTTCCGATGCTACTAAACTAAGCGGTCTTAGGCTCTTTTTTTTTCTTTTTTTTTTTTGAGGCTTAGTTTGAGTGTATTTTACTTTTTATTTTTGGTTGAAGGTAATGAACCTCAATTCAATTGTTGATGTATACACTAGTAACCAACAAAACTAATGTCAATTTAGGTTCCAAAAGAGAAAAATGCCACTTTTGTCATCACACTTCATTCATGACTCACACCTCATCATGAACCTCTTTTGTGATCATATACGATCATTGGCCAGAGGAAAACGACATCAAAACGTTTCCTTTTCTTGTTTGAGAATTATTCAAACATGACATGTTCTTATCTTCAAAAGTCTTGGCTATAAAGGAATCTAATCTCAAGGATGTTGATTTCCCTATGTATAACACATATATATGCTTTACAGTAAACAGTAGAAATAGAGATATACAAAAAGTTTGGCTAAGATCATATCAACCAAGCAAAGTTACCACATCGTGCTTGACTTTCAATGTCCACCTCAAAGGGTCTTCTAGAGAGGATTGAATTGATAAAATGGCATTTTGATTCCATTGGATAAATCATGCTCTACTACCACTTGTTTCGTTTTCTTAAGTTAAAAGATAAGTTTCTAAGTAATAAATTTACCTCATAAACAAATACTTTATGTTTTTTAACACCCATTTTATTAGTGTCTGGTACAAGAGGAAGCAAAGACAACCCAAATCACTTAGTGGACGTTTGGTTCATAAATTCAGAATTATGATTCAGAATCATTCTTGTTTTACTTGTATTTTTTGTGAGAAAAAAAACACTGTAAAAAATCATGAATTATGATTCAAAATCAGAAATGAATACAGAAAACAAACGTACAGTTAACTTATTCATCTGGTTATGTGTTTTTTTTTTTTTTTGAAGGAATCACTTCATTTACTATTATTATTATTATTATTATTATTATTATTTCACTGGATCACTTAATTTATTTAGTAGAAGCTATAAAACGAAAAGCAAAAATGCAAAATTATATTTGTACATTTACTAATTATTCTTTATTTGTTCGGTTTCTTTCAATAATGATGGGTAATATAAAATTTTATGCCATAATCTAATCAACTGTATAATTTCCATGCAAGAATCTTTCAAATTAGGAGGAGGTCAAACTTGAGATTTTCTAAGAAGGTTTTGAATTCCTAGCTCAATTCGTCCCTTGTCAAAGTACTAAAATCAGTCATTTCATTTTTCTCTGGTACCAAACTCTTCGCTATTTTGGTTTTTGAAAAAAAAAAAAAATGTTTGATAATTTTTTTGAGTTTCTTTGATCTCCTCACCCACCGACGAGGTAAATTTCTGATCATTAAATCTAATTATAATTATATTAAATTAAAAAAAATGCTAAATAAACTGTTTTTAATATAAATCAAACGATTGAAAAAAAAAATTTAGACAGAGTAAGTCACGTGCAGAGCACGTGCGTTGCCAAATTACCACAGGATGCTCGACTTTCATGGGCCTTTTTGAGAAGATTGACAAATTGACATTATAATTCCTTAGGATAAGGACTGCTCTACCACCACTTGGTTTATTTTTGTAAGTTAAAAGGCTAAGCAAATTCGTCTTTATATAAGAGTTGTATATCATAGTAATGGTACGTGCAACAATATTATACTGCTGCGACTTTGAAAAATCTTCTTATAATGTTTTAAAAAATTATCTCCAAAGATAATGACAATAATAGCAGTTGGGGAAATTGGGTTGAACTATTTATTTTCAAATTTGTCCTCAGCCTACCGTTTAAAGCAGATTGTTGTGTAGCATTCAAAGTCATAACTTTTTTTTTTTTGTTTAATTTTTTCTAGAAAAAAACAAAAATTCAAAGCATTACTATGACGTAAGCAACTCGTCAGTCAATTGTAATATACTGGTCTAATATTTCCTTCTTTTTTTTTTTTTTTTTTTTTTCAAATTTGTTTTTCTTATTGCTTATTGTCGACATGTGCGTCGAGAATACTCAAGAGTTTGGTTGAGGCCAGTATTACGGCACAAAAGCCAATTTCAGTTTCTTGGACTCATCATATTGCGAAGACTAGTAAGAACTGACCAAAATATTACTGTTAGACTAAGATGGGAATTTGTGGTAAGTTTAATAGTTATTTTCATGAATTTTGGTGGTGCAAAATTTCGTCCAATACCATGATCGTGTCTTTTAAGTCATAATCTAGATGAAACGAACGTTTTAAGTAAGAGCGTGATATGAATAATGAACACCGTGATAAATACAAAGAACCCTACATAAAAACTTAGAGAGAGTCCAAGGAGTTTTGGGTATTTTAAGAGTGTGTATATTGAGATTGCGTTCATATGCCCCTTTTTCTTGTCATCTTTCATGTCTACTAAATAATAACATGTCACGTCATGTCTTTTTAATTGACGTGATAAGAATCTTTAATTGAATTGACATTTTAATTAACGTGTCACAATTTACTGGAGCTCGGATGTGGGCACGTTTCATCCTTGCCGTTACCCTGCAGCTGCTCGGGATTTCACTAGTGTTATTTCTATTGTAAAAAAAAAAAAAAAAAAAAAAGCCCTCCTACAAATTTTATCCTTTTTTTTTAAAAAAAAATTTGTAACAATGTAATTGTTATATGATTCTAAAACTTACTCTAACATAAGAAACCCTTTAACATAGGAGCCTTCTAAAAAATATATAGTTACTGGTAAATGTTTATTATAGATTAATGTCGTAATATTTTGTTAAATTTTCTGATCCAACTCTAATATAGTTTTGATACGAGTTAACGTTCTAAAACGTGCTCTAACTTACGATGTTCGCTATCATAAGAGCCCTCTCAAGACCTTAATTCTCTATCACCATCTTCGAAAATCGGCTTTGGTGATGGGTTAGCTTATCAATTAATTTTGAGTATACATTTTTGCTATTACCACCACTCAAAACTAAACTGAATATTTGGATGTGTAAATGAGAGTTTATGGGGCTCAGGAGAATATGAAAGTCAATTATTATGGCCACTTTATCATAATTAAATATGTGGTCCCGCTAATTGTTCACTGAAAGCATTGCGGACATCAGACATTTTGTGATTTCTGTCCCATGTCTTTAGCCTAATTTGAGGCAGAGAGAAAGTCAGAACCATTTGGAGAGCCAAAACTCACTTTTGCCTTGTTTAAAAACGACCTCAGTTTTGGCTTTTACATTAAAGAAGTCAAATCTTTGTGCAACTCATTGAGAAGAGGAAGAATACCATGGGGGATTAAGACAACAACTTTATAACACTCCATAAACCGCAAATTTTGTGTATCAATATCTTCAAGGATAATTTATATACGCCTTTTTCAAAGTTAATGTACTTTATATTCAAGGATAATCATAATGCACTTTATATTCAAAGATAATCATGTTAAGGACTTTTTAGCACGCATAATTACTTGTGTTTATGAGAGGATAATTAAAGAGAGAACAAAAAAAGTAGCTGCATAGTCCTGTTGATATACTAAAAAAATCAAGCTTTAATTGGACTATTAAGGTTAATTAAAAGCTCAATTAGGAAGGCTTATTGGTCTGGAGCTACGTAAAGCTGAGGTGGGCATGTGTTCCTCCTTGAATTTTTTTTTCTTTTAATTTTATATATGAAATATGATCAAATTCATAGTTTGCCACTTTTAAAATTCTGAAATTTTATAAGTTCGTTCATTTCACCGATTCGAGTTTACTACAGTAAAAAGTTATCACAAACAATCGTATCAAATTTTTTTATTATAATAAAAAACTCTCACATAAAATTAAATTATAAACTCAAATCAACGAACTAAACGGACCCTTTACCTCACCTCAGAATACCCAACTATTTTTTCGATAAAATTATGTGCCCCTGCCCGACTTATTTTTCTAGTTCCGTTCACGATGACATATATGCCTTACATGGGTACTTGAACAGAAATACGAGTGGAAATAAATGGTTTCTGATTGGAATTTAATATGATATGACAAGACATGCAAATTCTGACTCACTAACATTTTTCATACAACAAAGCCAATGTTATAGTGAATGGTCAAATCTCATTAAAATAAGGAGTAATCAAGTCAATTGGTTTATGTTCAACGTACAAAGTTGGGTGTTTGTCTTGTGGAAAAAATGACCCCAAAAAAAAAAGAAAAAAAAAACACACACACACACAAACGTACAAGTTGGATGTCAAGAGAGCAAAACCAAAGCGGTCGTTAGCAAAATTAACGAGCTAATATATATATAGTATGAACACTACAAATTTTTCACATGAAAGATAATAACAATCACTGAACAATTTAATACATGAGCTGCATCACACCGAATGTATTACTTCCAAGAAATAAATTATAATGTAGGAGGTAAATGGGAGTGAATAGTAAATTTTTAAAACTAAATTAAGTAAATAGTTGATGTTAAAATTATTTGAAATAAATAACAATTTACGTGGTAAATGATCATTTTACGTAATAAAAACATGTTTTCATGTAATTTTCTTTTTATAACTTGTAAAAGAATTTTTTCTACGTAAATAAAGTTTTTTTTTTAAATTTTTTTAGCACGTAAGTTATTTTTTATTAGTAATAAATGAATTATTTACACGATAAATTATTCATCTGCCACATAAACTGTAATTTACTTTAATAATTTTATAATATGCTATTTACTTAATTTAATTTTAAAAATCTACTATTTATTACAATTTCCTGAGGTTATATTTATACTAGTCGTTTTTATATGTTTGTTATGATGTTTATTTTTAGTTTAGTTTTGTTCTTAATTTGTCTTTTTGCTTTAGTGAATAGTTTGTTATTATTTTGTAAGACCATCTCCAATGTAAATGTTTATACCAGTCGTATATTAACACCAAAAAGTAAGTTAGGACATGTTATTTTAATTTGTACTTCAATGTATAATGCTACTTAAAATGATAAAAGTTACTTTTTTTTTTATAAGTACTAAGTTTTGAAAGTTGTAAAAGTGAACTTTTAATTTAAAATAATTTAAAAAAGTAAAAATTGTAATGATTAAATAAAAAAGTAATCATATCAATTAATAAGAATCAAGTGTCAAATTTGTCATATGCTATATTTAGTGAAAAATTTGTCTCAAAGTCTAGTATATGGTAAATTTGACACAACAAATAGCATTGTATTTGAGAGTTTATTTACACTCAAATACTAAATTTACAATTGATACATCAATTATAACAGTGCATTAGAGATGCCTTAAGTGGGCTATAAATAGCCACATTAGCTATTGTAAAATCTGAAATATTTAGGCCTCATTCGTTTCGCTGATTCGAGTTTAGAATTCGAGTTGATATATGATTTTATGTGAGAGCTTTTTACTGCAGTAAAAAAGTTAGATGTGATTGTTAAGCTCTCACATAAAATCATATATAAACTCGAATTCTAAACTCGAATCAGCGAAACGAACGAGGCAAAAGTTTTGACTGTTTTCTCTTCAATTTGTGGCTTTTCCGCTTTTGCAATTTCTTTAGGTGGATTTAGGAATTCTAAGTGCTGTTCCCCTTTTGGTTAGACTCGTAAATTCTATAATCTTCGTTCCACTGCATCAAATTATTAAATGGCGTGAATCATGTTATACAAGATGAAGTTAGTTCTAGATATAAGGAACAAATTAAGGATTAGGATTAGTCAATTCCCGACGCTTCTTTTGTATCTGCACATCAGATTCGTTTAGGTATGGGGTTCTATTGAAATAAGAAGTAGTAGTACCGCCGTTGAGCTGGTCCAGCCGGCGTCAATATGGTCTCGGCGGTGTTAAACTCGACACTGAAGATGTTCTAGCGGTTAAAGACCCGATCGTTAAAATCACATATAGAAATCATGAATTGATTAAAAGATTTTGACTGAATCTTAGAAAATTTATTTATAATACATTGGTATGAAAGCTAATTCAATCATTAGAAAATCTTAATTACACTAAATGCTCTCAAGCTCTTTTTGTAATCCTTTTTCTTTCATAGTGAAGTCTAACAACCAAAATGGACATTATTAGTATCGCATTGAGTGTGAACCATTACAAATTTTTTATATTTTGACTGCTTAATATTTGTGTAATTAATTCCAATTAGTCATTGTGCTGAGCGATTTTTTACCATCAACAGAAGAATGATAATTTTAGTATTTTTAAAGTTATTAGCAAATTTAGTAGCTAGTAGTTAGAAGCCGCTTCGTGATAAATTGTAAATTCAAATACTTTGAGTTTGATTTCAACTCGAGAACCCCTAAATTTTTCGACTAATGAAGCTTATACATTGATATTCTTTAAACCAAAAAAAAAAAGACAATAATTTTTTAGCTAATAGTATCTGAATCAATAATTATCTGTTTAACATGTATGGCCAGGCTCATCTGTTGCGCAACAGTAACATTTCCTCAGAAAACAATGTTGCGAAATGGGCTTCCAACAAGCTCATGTTGTGATATTGGACCAAACCACAAAAAGAACTAGAAATACGGATCATAAAAAATATTATTTATGTCAATATATTAAAAAATAAATAATTATTATTTAATTAATAAAAAAAATTAAAAAGTTATAATAACACTTAATTATTTTAAATGACATAAATAATATGTTTATATAAAACTATGGTAAACTATGTACACAAGGAATATGAAAGAAGGCCCAAGACAACCATAAAGATGTTCTCAACCCACCTCAAAAGCAAAGAAGAACAACAGATTCAGGCAGGAGCTACAATAACTCATTTTTAGGTAGTTAATTTCTTCAGTCATATAGGCAACCTTGTCAAGACAATTGTTAAACACTTTATGCTTGTAGGATCCCAACATAGTCGGATTTTATACTTGTTACTCATATGTACTGTCTTCTTTGGTCATTTAGTATCTCTCAAGGATTTCTTTCGCATCCCTCAATCCTTGAACTCAAAATCCTTATAAGGTTTTAAGTTAGTGTTGGTACCAATTGACCTTCATCTTTGAGGAGCGTGTTTTTCTTTTATAACACCTCAACCCCTCATGGGTTTCACCTTGCAGGACCTTAGTATAGTCAGATTTTATACTCGTTACTTATACATATTGTCCTATCTGTGCACTTAGTGGTCCTCAGGAATTTCTTTCACGTTCCCGAACACTTGAACCTAAAACCTCAAGACCAGGGTTCACTCTTAATCGGAGAGCTATGGCTACTTTCCCACTACAAATTTCCAGCATACGAGAGAATAAGTGCAAATTGTATTGCGCCTCTCAAATTTTCTTATATAAGACGCATCATTCTTCCTTTGTCAGCTTAAAAAAGTTTTGCTCTAAAAAACTGTTATTGTAGCATGAAGATCACGATAGACTAGAATTCCTTAAGAACCAAGGCTCCACACGACTTAACATTTAGGCTGAGTGACAACTAACTTGGAATTCTTTCTTGTCTGGCAGTGATTTGAAGCTAAAAAAAAAAAAAAAAAAAAAAACCTGCTCTTGCAAAAAGAAACCCAATATTTTTCCAAAAACTCTGTACAACTTTATATGACTATATCTGATATAGATCAGGAATCTTCCCCATGCCAATCAGTATGTGGAACATTCTCCCTAAAATTTACAATAATTTTTCATATTGATATTATTTCTTGATGAAATCATACACCAGAATTGGTGAAACCTTTTTGAAAATGAAATAATTCTGCAAAAGAAATGAGGAGTAACTTAGCCAGAGAAGAATCTCTTCCATGACTGCCAAGACAGAAATCCGCCTGCATTAGAAACCAGATTGAGAAATAAATCACAGTTCAAATCAAGAAAAAAAACACAAATAAATAAGTGCTATGAAACAAGGTGATAAATTAATGAAGATTGAAATTACCACAGCCAGGGCATCGCGCATAGTTTTCCTTCTTCAAAACTAACCCTGACCCTCCACATACATCACATGTCTTCTGCGCTATCTGCCATATGTTGCACAAATTATGAATGAAATACGTAAAAATGAGAATTCTGTGATAAAGTACGAAAGAAAAATCTATCGACATGTCCAGTTATGAACCATCATGTTTTCATAAAGTTCTGTTCAACTATAAATTTTCTTATTCTAATACAATTATGATATAATTTGATGGTTCAAAACTGTCTTATTGGCGTTTTTGCTTACTTTATCACAGAATTCTCTAATGAATAAATAAATCATCTTTAATACATGCTTTACAAGAGTTACATACAATTCTTTTGCTGAATTCAATCCCTGCCACCACAAAAGGAGTGACTCCAGCTGCAAGTGTTGCAACACAAAATACTTGTATGACAATCAGAATATTATATTGAATAAAAAGCAGTACTTGTAAAGATTTTTAATTTTTGCATTTTCTGGGCATGACACAAAAGCTCAAAAAGTTCCATTCTTTGCTCAAATCCCACCTCAATTTTCTCACCTCCCAAACATCCAATTTACGACATGATTAATTGCAAAGATATCATCTTTAACCATTATTTGCAAAGGTTTCTTTTTCACATTTTCCGGGCTGGGTCCAAAATCTCAAAAAAGTTTCATTCTTTGTAGAATTCCCACCTCAGTTTTCTCACCTTCCAAACATCCAGCTACACAAACACACATACAGCACCAACAACAGTTTGTCACTTGAGTAATTGCAAATATTTTATTTTCTATGCACTTAATTGTAAAGATTTTTATTTTTACATTTCTGGGCATGACTCAAAAACTCAAAAAGTTCCATTCTTAAACACTGTTAAGTTTTTAGTTGGCAATTTTTGACATGTCTGTGTAGGAAAATTCAAAAACTATGTTTGAGAAGAAGGTACGTGCTGAGGAAGTTTATCTGATCAAAGCGTTTGAATTTCAAAATGAAGAAATGAGTTTCTGATAAAGTAAAGATTCCTGAAAAGATAAAAATAGGGAGTCAAAGCTTTGAAGCGATAATCCCACTTTAGATTGATCTTTATTTCAATTTTAAATAGGATTTAGTTTCAGCAAAATATACATACCAGGTTGTGTAATTTTTATAAGGAACAACTTGCAGAAGTCATTTTTGAAGATAGAGCAGAGATAAAACAGAGCAAGATATTGTGTTCGGGTGTTTGAATTCAAGATCAGATATTGCAACAAGTCGTGAAACAGATTTTGCAACAGTTTGAACTTTAAGCAAGATTTAGAGATTTATGTGACCTGCTATATAAATACCTCAAGGACTTGAGAGTATTCTGCGTTCTTCAGTAGAAGAATTTAAAGCTTTCAGGAGAAAGCGCACTACCAACCGAAGAGAGTTCGCCGTGCAGTTTGAAAAAAATGTGGTGTTTATTGAATAGATCACTAATTGTTGTAAGAAGACCGAGACGACGATTAAGAGAGAGAGTCTTTAGATTGCATAAGTCTATTGGTGATTGTAACTGAGTCAAATTAGTGAATTCTTCAATAGCTGAGCTTGGCCCTGCGAATGTAGGTTTCGACCGAACCGTGGTACCAATCTTTCGCGTACTTTGCTTTATGCTTATTTACTGCCTTGGCTAACGTTTAAACTGATAACTAATTTAAAGTCAGTAATTGCTTATAACAATTGTTACAACAATTATTGCAACAATTTCATATACATAGATTTTTCAAGTGGTATCAGAGCAAACAAAATTCAATCTCAATTTCTAGTGCTGATGTTGAATACATTGCAACAGGAAGTTGTTGTACTCAATTATTGTGGATAAAACAAATGCTTGAGGACTACGGTATTTTACATGATGTTTTGACTATTTAATGTGACAATACTAGTGCCTTAAATATTTCAAAAAATCCAGTTCAACACTCTAGAACTAAGCATATCGACATTAGGCATCACTTTATTAGAGAATTGGTTGAAAGCAAAACCATTGTTCTAGAATATGTTGCACAGAATAACAATTGGCATATATATTTACCAAAGCTCTAGATGCATTAAGATTTGATTCACCATGAATAATTTAGGTTTATGTATCACCAATACGTAGAGGATGATTTATCATGAAAAACGAGCTGCCTTGGTGATAGAGTGAAAGGCCCCATTAAAAAAAAATAATAAATAAATAAATAAATAAACCTGTGAGGTGATATAAAGGAACATGTAAGTTTGAACAGGTTTTTCAATTCCTGAAATTCATATGCTGAAATTGACTGTTTTCACAAAAGGATATTTTTAGAGAATATTCACACACACTGGTTCAAAATTAAAATTAGTGGCAATTTGAGAACTGTTGATATACCCAGTTTAAATATTAAATTTTGAATATTGTGACGTTGAAACATGATTAATATGATGGGAACACTCACGTTTAAATTTTTTGCAACATGCAAGTAGTTTTTTTTTTTTTGGGCTTAATTATCATAATTAAAAAAATAAAAAATATTTAAAAAAATCTTTGGATTATGAGCTTGGGTTAATATATCTGCTGATGTGTATATGTTACAATATATTCTTAAATTAATGGTCTCGTTTAAAATTTGGATGATCCTGCATGTCGTTTTATATCTAAGATAAAATATGTGGATATAGATAATTATCAAATTGCGATACTAATTTTTTGTGCCTATCTAATTATTACTTTCATAATTTATTAATTTAACTCGATAAAATAATTGCCAAAAACATATCAAACATACACAAATCCCACCTCAAGTTTCCCACGTCCCAAACATCCAACCACACACACATATTAACTTATCAACAGCACCAACAACAATTTGCCACGTGATTAATTGCAAAGATTTTTATTTTTCGAAGCATTATATTTATAAAGATTTTATTTTTACATTTTCTGAGTATTGGCACAAAAACTCAAAATTTTTTTCCATTTTGTCACTCCATATACATACCTGCAGCACCAACAACAATTTGCCACGTGACCCCAATGGGGGCTGCATCGGCTGCGGCGGAGAACTCCTCTACTCCTGCAACCTTCCTCACTTGCAAGCTCTTGCTTCCGATCAGACGGCTGTGCTTGCCTTTGGAAGTGAGATTGAGGGTGGATGATTTGGTGGGGTCGACTGTGAAGTTGGTGATTCTCAAGTGAGTGTTTGAGGCCGGACTTGGAGTTGTGAGTATTGACGGAGGGAGAAGAGAGGCTTCCATGGCAATGGAGCTGAGTCTGCTGAGTCAAAGCGTGTTGGGAGTAGTCATCAATAAGGACTGTTTATAATTAGGCCACGTTGTTTGGTTAGTTTGTATGGTTCCACAACTGACTTTAGCCATGGGGTGTGACCATGCATAATTGTGGATCTCATCCAATCATTTACCACTTTCGATTTTAGAGCAGTTGAGCCACGTGCACGGACGTGCGGAATACCTTTATCAATTTGATTCCGCGTTAAAACACATATAGTGTGCGTTTAGTTCGTGGATTCGTGTCATGGTTCGGATCATAGTTCGTAACTCATTACAGTATTTTTTCTCACAAAAAACACATGTAAATTGAGAATAGTTCTAAATTATGATTCTGAATTCACGAACCAAACGTCCACGTAGCCTTCTTAAAAGTTAAGCCTATTAATTAGAATAAGATACAAAATTTTTTTAAGAATCATATCAAAAGAAAATTAAAGTTATATAAGAATTTTTGACAAAAATGAAAAAAAAAACTTAAGCATAGAGATGTTTAAGGGAATTATTTTTTATTAAAAAAAGTAAAGAAAAAAAAAGTATTTTAAAGAAGCATATTGCAAAAAGGATATGTAACGGTCGAAGAATGTTAGGTGGAAAAAAAGTCAACAAGTAAAAGAAAATTAAAAAAAAAGTTAAAAAAAAGAAAAAGAGGAAAAATGGATAAGTAAAAAAAAAATAAAGTTATATAGGAGTTTTTGATAAAGAGAAATAGGAACATATTTGAAAGTAATTATTTTAATTAAAAAAGTAAGAAAAAGGAAATTATTTAAAAAAAGATATTGTAAAAGAAAAAATGTTAAAAGAATATTAGGGGAAAAATAAAATAGACAATAAGCAAAAGAAAAGGAGACAAAATTAAAAAAAGAAAAGGAGGAAAGGTTAGAAAAGAGAGGGAAAAAAATAAGAACTCCTTAGTAGCCAAGTCTACTTAGCTGTTTTTATATATGTCATATGTTGAATTGGATGTATAGATAGCTGTTAACAGATTAAACTATAAAAGAGCAGTTGAAAGAAAAAAAAAAAAGAGCAAAGCACACGTAAAAAAAAATAATAAAATGAAAAAAAGAATAAAAGAACGGAATAGAACATTTATAAATATTACAAATCAAAAAATCAAAAAAAGGAGGAGGTTATCACATTATAGTCTAGAAAGTGTTCTTTGAGAACACTATAAAAAAAATATGTGTAAAAGATAACAATTAGTATAACATGAATTATATGAAAAACAATTAAGTATGGACACATTTAAAGAAAATTATTTTAATTATTGATAAAAAATTTAAATAGAAACACATGCCAAAAAAATACTCTCATAAGAGTGAAGTAAGAAAAAATTATTTTTAAAAAACTCACGTAAACAAAACAAAAAATAAAAAAGAAAAAGATTTTTAAAATAAAAACAATAAAGATAAAAAAATAAAGAAAATAAAAAAAAGAAGGAGGTGGAGAGGCCGCCACGTGACAGCTTTAAAGAAGAGTATTATTACAAAAGCTTTTGGCTCTTTTATGTATTACTAGTCTTTAGAGCGCGCTTTGTGCGCGTGATTCATTTAAAATAACAGTTTTATACATTTTTTTAAGAAAAGAAAGAAAGGAAAAAATAACATCAATCAAAAAAATAAAGACAAAAACGGAAAAAGATATGAACCAAAAGACAGAAAAAATATTTATGAACAATTTAATAAGTTTTATATATGATTTCTTTATAAAACAATTTATAAACAAAAAAAGATTAAACAATTTATAAACAAATTTTTTTTTAATGGCACCTCAATTTTTTTACTTTCATTTTAGAAACAATTTATTAAATTTTTTATCTTTTTTTATGAATGCTATAATCATTGCGTTTTAAATTAATTCTATTTAGTTTTGTTTAATTTATTTTTTTGTTTAATAAGGTGTGATTTTATTTTATTTTAGTTTATTTTTTTATCTTATTTTAGTGTGATTTTAATTGATCTTAGTTTTTTCAAATTACTTATAGCAATTTCATCACAAGAGTATCAAAAATTAGGGACAAAACAGTATTAAAATGAACAAAATCAGACCATAAATAACTCTAAAATAAATAAATAAATAGACACAATAAACAAAATAATAATAATACAAAAATAATACAAAATATTTTTTTGTGCAAAACACCCTCCCCTCTCTCATATGTTCATCTATCTTTCTCTCTCTCTCCCTCTCTCTCTCTCTCTCTCTCAACCACCCCCTTTGCATGTAGGGCTCTCTCTCTCTTACTCTACGAAGTTAGTGAGTTTGGATTTATTATAAATATGTTTGAGTCAAAATCATGTTGAATCTGTGTAATACAATTAAATAGCGTATTCGTGTCAGGTCTTATTGTATCAACTGAGGTGATTAATACGACACGGTAACACGAATTGCCACATTTATTCAAAACTACACTTTGTTGTAGAGTTAAGTGTGAAATTACCTTTTACTACTATATTGTGCCTACAACCATATCTTATTTTCATGTTTGACTTTTAAAACACATTCACATGAACTTTGATATAAAAGTTGTCCTAAATTAGTCAATTCTTCGTTTATCTGACTCTTAAAATCTCAATAGAAAAATAAATGATCTAAATAATCTACAATCCATTTTATTCATAAAAATGATCCATGTCCTTAAATAAAATGGAAAAAAACTAATATCCCGATTTAAAAAAAAAAATAAGAAGCAACAAAAAAAATCCACAACTCAGATTTTTTAAAGAAACTTTCTCTGGTAAGCCTTCTTATCGATGGTGTGAGTTTCTAACTGTTAGATCTAATCAAAATCATATCAAATTTAAAAAATATGCAGAACATATAATTTTTAATGTAAATTTGACGATTAAGTAAAAAACTACCGATAATTAATTTTTCTAATCCTGATAGAGAAACTCTCTTTTTTAAAATCAAAATCTCAATCTTCATAGAAATATAAAACATTTTTTAGAGATTTTTAAAAACCATACGTGATACGACATGAATTTTATTGTCGTTCGTATAGAACAGGGAAATTTCACTCCGGGAATCTCTGTGCTCGGTCCACAGTCCACTTGGCAATGACCGGTGTCTGGTTGTAAGAAGATTCTCACTAACCCATTACCATTAGCAACTAACCACATAATTAACTAAAATGCTTAACCTTAAACCCCCCAAAATTAGCCAAAAAAATGATCCAAAATCTTTCCTTAAGCCAAAGCGAGAGGCATAATTATGGAGAGAGGGTTTTTGGGTATATTCCCTCCTCTGCTTGTGGTTTCTCTCTCCTAATCCACTATTTTCTCTCTCTAAAAAACCATCATGACACTCTCTTCTTCTCTCCTCTCTCCCACAACCAAACTTAATCTTCTTCACTCTTCTTCTTCTTCTTCTTCTGTGAATGTTTTTGGGACCAGGTTCATCTTCTCCGGAGCAGGAATCGTGTCTGTGAATTCGAGGACCGGTTCGGACCGGTTCGTTGTGCTGTTCTCGACCCACTCGAACCCCAAGATTCTCAAGTCGAACCGGCGGTCGAGGTACGGCCAGGCTCTCTCGCCGTACGACTCCGACGAAGATGAAGAAGAAAAAGATGAGTTTGGCGGTTTGTCGGAGGATGATTGGTTTACTGATGTGAGTTTCTTATACATACATATATATATATATATATATGCGTTTGTATGTATATAATATCTCTCTTTTGCACTTGAGCTTGGAATTTGGGAGCAGAAAGTTCTGGTTTTTGAGTCAATTTAAAAGACTTTTGAGGCATTGGAAAAGTTTTGGTTTTTTTTTTTTTTTTTTTTTTTGCAGGATTATACTTTTATGGATTGAGTTTCTTAATTTTTGTTGCTTAGATTATCTTGGTTTTGATTTCTTCCTTCTTTAAAATTGTGAGAAACTCATAACTAAACATTCAGAGCACAAAGTTTTGAACTTTGTATTTTTTTTTTTCCTTCTAAAATGTTTCCCTGATGTGTGGTTTTGTTTTTTGTTTTTTTTTTTGTTTTTTTTCTTTTTTTGAATTTATATTTCCTACTCTATTGAGCTTGAGCTGGGAATTTGGAAGCTGAAAGTTATGGTTTGAACCATTTAGCAGAATTTTCATGCTTTCGGAACTGTAAAGAGTTGTACACGGTATAATACGGAATGAGAGATTTTCATTTTACCCACTTCTTGTCTTCTTATGTTCTAAGAACGCAAACTGATAAATTGAAAGCATAAAGTTCTGAACTTTTTCTAGATTTGATTAGCAAAGAAGGGAACTTTTTTTTTTTTTTTTTGACATACTATCCTTTGTTGACTCAATTGTTTGTGCCTTTTTAGGATGCTATTTGTTTGCATGAGTTGACTTCTAATTTCACTTCTAATTCCATTTTGAAACTTTCTCCAGGATGAGTTTGCAGAGATTTCCGATTTTGATGCTAAAAGAAAGAGGTCCAAGTTAAATAGGGGATTTGGTGGAAGTAGGTCTCGTTGAAGTTTTTCCTTAAATTGCTTCAGAAATGTTTATGAGGGAAGCTTGACTGAAGGGTAATGTTTTATTTTGTTTTTACAGGTAGCCGAAAACAACCGGAGAAAGGCCAGAGTAGTGCCTCATCAAGCTTTTCCATTGACAAAGATTTTGGTAGCAGAAATGTCAAGCTCACTCTAGAAAAAAGTAATGTCGGAAGTTATTATCGCAACAGAAAAGAAGCCGTAGATTTACGCAAAGGAAAGGTAATCTATAGTAACATGTTTGAAACTTTCAAGTTTTTTATAATCCATTATTAGCTGTACTAATGGAGTAGTGGTAAAAGTACCTGACTTATTTTTTGTTTTATTGTAGTTAAATATGAGGAAAATTATTGAGAATAAATATCCTCGGCTAGCAGAAGAGATAGAAATAGATGAGAAATGGTTACCACTTATTGATTACTTAAGCACATTTGGGCTTAAGGAATCACACTTTATTCAGATGTATGAGAGGCATATGCCTTCCCTTCAAATAAACGCGTGTTCTGCGCAAGAAAGGTTGGAGTACTTGCTGAGCGTTGGTGTTAAACAAAGGGACGTAAAAAGAATACTTTTGAGGCAGCCACAAATTCTAGAGTACACCGTGGAGAACAACTTGAAGTCCCATGTTGCTTTTCTGATCAGTTTGGGAATCCCGAATTCCCGTATTGGACAGATAGTTGCTGCTGCTCCATCGCTCTTTTCTTACAGCGTCGAAAATTCGCTGAAACCGACTGTGAGATACTTGGTTGAGGAGGTGGGCATCAAAGAAAAGGATTTAGGAAAAGTTGTGCAGCTAAGCCCTCAGATCCTGGTTCAACGCATCGACATCACCTGGAATACTCGTTACATTTTCCTTTCTAAGGAAATAGGTGCACCAAGAGATAGTATAGTGAAGATGGTTACTAAACACCCTCAGCTCCTCCATTACAGCATTGATGACGGATTACTTCCAAGAATCAATTTCCTTAGGAGTATAGGAATGAGGAATGCTGACATCTTGAAAGTCTTAACTAGCCTTACACAGGTAGGTTTACTTTCATTCTCATTCGATTCATTTTCATTCAACTATTTTTTGTGCTTGGTCTGAGTTTCTGACAAAACCCCATTTCGATTTCTGCAGGTGCTATCTTTATCCTTGGAGGATAACTTAAAGCCGAAGTACTTGTACTTGATCAATGAACTGAACAACGAAGTGAAGTCATTGACCAAATATCCTATGTATCTAAGCTTGTCTTTAGACCAGAGAATTCGCCCTCGACATAGGTTTTTGGTTTCGCTAAAGAAAGCCCCCAAGGGACCATTTCCTCTGAGCTCGTTCGTTCCGACTGATGAGTGCTTCTGTCAACAGTGGGCTGGAACTAGCTTAGACAAATATCTCGCCTTTCGGCAGAGATTATTGCTCAAAGAGTTTGCGAATAAATATGAAAGAAAAGTCTAACATGTTGCTCGCAAGTTTGATCTGATTTACTGACAGAGTTTGTCAAAGATGTTCATGAGGTTTTGAGAAGAAACTCGGATAGTACGGTTTTTGAAACCTCCGTTGACAACATTATCGGGTTGCTGACATTTTTGACGGTTTCATCATGAGAGCTATAATACCTGCAGAAGCTGCCTCAGTTTCCATGTCGTGAAAAGTTTCCAGTCCAATAGTCTATGCAGAAACCTGTACAGTTCTGTGCACGTAGATGTGGACTGATTCACTGAATTGAGAAGTTATGAATGGCGGCGACTTAAAAGGCCAACAGAAAAAAAGGTGAAATTCTATACACTATTGAACAAGAACTCCCAGAAAACAAAATCACATATTCACTTATTAGAATAGTAGCTGGGAAAAATATGTTTTGTATTTCAATTTTTACGGTTCTCGTGTAGGATAGATAGATATATCAATCCATGAGATCTTGCAATATTCTACTTCTCCTTCATTGGATATTTGTTTTCTATGCTTCGTAATGATTTTCATTTATTTATTTATTTATGTGATGAATGCAATGCAGGTTTTTCGAATCAGTCTTCATCAAGTTGCCAACTTGAAGGAGAAAGTTGCACTAACTGCAAATTTAGTGGTCATGGATGTTTTACCAACTGCAAAAGTCTTGTAATTCAAATTTGGCAAAAATATATATAATTTTTCTCTGCTGAGACAATTAGATATAATTTTGTTTTACTTGTTCATGTTCCAAATACCCTAAAGGGCTATATAGATGCTTAATCTTTTTCCTTTTTAATTTCTTGTAACAGACATTGTCAAATGTATAATTTTTCCCGTACGTTTTATTTCGATACACGTTTGGTTCATAGATTAGAATCATGAGATTAGAATTATTTTCGATTTACGTGTATTTTTTGTGAAAGAAAACACTGTAGCGAACCATGAACCATGATTCAAATCGAGGTACGAATCCCCCGACCAAATAGTCTTTTTCATCTACTTTTCATTTATCTTCACCGGTATGAAATCTGATGGGTACTGTAGGATGAGCAGTTTTACTAGGTACATTTAATGAGTAAAATTTTGTGCTTTCTACCAGAATTTTCTTTTTGCTAGAATCTTGATACCAGATTTGGTACATGAGATTTAGGATTTTTAGCATTTTACTCCTGATTTTTCTATACTTTGACAAAGTTAGCATTTTACTCTCCGAATTTTCTATACTTTGACAAAGTGTTCTTTGAACTTTTGAGTCGCTAAGTACTTGAACTTAGCGGCTCAAATTGATAACGCTATTCAAATTAATGACAGAAATATCCATGTTTTTGACTCTTCCCGTCTTATATTAGATATTCTGCTAAAGTTTACTTTGAATATTTGATTCTGGTGATTAACCTCCTTATTTCCGTCCGTTGTCCAACCGGCATTCTCAATTTGGCCATAATGGAGCAGTTTGGCAAATGTATAAAGCTAACTGGCAACGTAAAAAATTCTTTGCAAAAGCACCTGGGGACTCGCTGCTCTGAAACACAACGGTTATACAACTTGCAAGTGTCCAAACTTGCAAGTGTCCAATCCAATCTTTATAAGTGTGATGGTTAGCTATCACGGACTAGCTGTACTTACCGTAAAATCCGCCTTTTATCCCTCAATTTAATATGAAAAATGCATTGAGATACCACCACTAATAAAAATCAGTCTCACTCGCACACTTTATTTTGTGAGATTCATTTTTTATTAGTGGATAGTACTTACCGTCCTTCCTCCTTAAAAGCTTTGTTCATTTGACATGGTGAACCAGTATTGACAGTAACAATCTAGCATGCAGATCTAACTGCGCTCAACTGCACTGTGATTGGCTTGTTCCTGCAGATAACATAGCCTATGATGTACATCCGCAACTTTGTCTCCTCATGACATGTCTTCTTCTTATTGGTTCCTTTCAAATTTAAACAAAACAGGTTATCTCGTTTATTTTACCGATTTAAATTTTTAATTTTTAATTTTTGCAGTTAAAAATTTTTAAAAAATATCACATCTTAATTTAAATTAAAACCTCAAACTCACGAGGCTTTAAATGTTACTTCATACTTTACCTCTCAATAGTGAAATCCATTTATTTAAGATGGTGCTAACTCCAATCATTGGTGTGATTGGACAGCAACTGCGTGTGAGGATTTTACATTTCAATCTAATCAGTCATATTGTTCCTCAAGTTTAATTATCTACTATAAAATGGGTTTTCTTCTTGTTCACGGTGTTTTCTTTTCACATTTGCACACACTTCACAAAAGTTCAAATGTTTGAAAGTGATAATTTTTTTTTTTTTGAGTTCAAATATGTTGTCTAATTTTCCTGTCTCATTGGTTGTTCCATCAATTAAATTTTTACACTATATTTTATTGCTCAAGTGGTTTTAGTTTTAACTTTATTTATGTGGTTGACATGCTAAATTTAAATGACATGACAAAAAAACAACAGAGGGAAAATTAATGACACAAGAAAATTGAAATAACACACTTCAATTCTTTGTTTTGGTGGGCGGCTTGTGAGTTAAATTATGAGGACAAATTCGTTCATTTCACCGATTTAAATTTTTAATTCTAATTTTACTACAGTTAAAAGCTCTCATAAAAAGTCACATTTAACTTTTTCTGCTACAGTTAAAAGCTCTCACATAAAATCACATCTCAACTCGAATTGAGAACTCAAATCAGCGAACTGAATTAGGGAGTAATCCAATATATAGTTGTACGTAATAACTTCTTAGGCTTTTTCTTCGGTCCCTCCAAAGGGACTATCTCTCAAACGTAACTTGTAATATGAAAATGTAGCATGAGAATTATTAAAGGTAACATCAATGTTGGAAAGAAATAACAGTCTTTAAATGATTAAATTCTTTAATGTTACTTCTCTACAATGTTATTATTATATTTTTATAATTATGTGTTACGTTGAAGGGACCTCTCATTAAAAAGACCGAAGAAAAGCCTTCACTTCTTATTACACTCTCTTTCTTTTCTCCCTTCTCTCTCTATGCCTTGCATTAACTGACACCAAGTTAAAAGTTCTCTTTTGACTTTAGTAGGTTCTATCTATAATCATTCGAATGATAGTTTCTTTCCCAAAACGGCCATGGTCTACAAGAGGATTACCACCTTGGAATAAGGAAATATGATATTTGCTTCTGCTTAATTGAGTACCGTGATACTTCAATATCCCTTCATGTCAGGGTAGTTGATCTTGATCTCTAGCATAGTCCGCACAATGAAGAAGAGATTGATTAGTGTAAGCAATCACGCAAGGAGTTCTAGATATAAGTAGTCGTTTTTATACTTTATTGTCATTTGTTCTAATTTTTCAATTTAGCTTAGTTTTGTTATTATCATATCGTTTATCTTAGTTGTTATTTTGTTATCGTTTTGTAGGTGAGTTATAAATAGCCACTTAGCTAGAAACTTGAATATTTTGATAATTGAATTTCCTCTCCAATTTGGAGATTTTTCCCTTTGTGGGATTCTTTTAGGTGGATTCGAGAATCATCTGTCCGAGTTAAGCCGTAAAATCTCGTTCTATCTATTCCGCTGCGTCAAGCAGGGATTACACAAGAGTTAGGATTAGATAAGGGCAGCCACCACCGTGTTGGTCCCATCATAATAGGGCCGCTCTTGTCTCGCATTCCCGACGCCTTAAAAGTATGTGTTGCCATCTAACCATCAGTAGAGCAATATGAATCGCGCGCTTGGCATGCGTAACTGTGGTTCGCAGCTTGCACGACATTCACAATTCCTCCTTTTTGGGGTTCTGCCTTTTTGGAATTCTTTTGTGGTCAAGAGCTTCTATCACTAAAGAGTTCCCTCAATAGCTGCCCAGGGGTCTCTTCTTATCTTTATCTCAAACACGCGCAGTCTTTTCACCGGAGAGGGAGAATTCTCAAGCGGATATCTCTCTAGAAACCTTTGTTTTTTTAAAATTAAAATTACATTCATCTATTTTATTTTCATATCAAATAAATATATGTTCACTTAGATGTCGATCGATAATAGTGTGATGCGTCCAGTACACATAAATATCTATCTAGTTATAGCTTTCTATATGAGATTTTCGTTTTTTAGTATTTTGTTGTGTGATTTCTTGTTAGATCTATAGCTTCTTACTCTCAATTGTTGAATATTTCAGGCAGGCAAAGATTGACAAAGGTGTGTACTGAAAAAATCGTGTCTTTTGTAGGCAAATCGATGGTTAAAACTATTATTATTATTATAATGAATTGTTTGTTTAATGGATTTTGGTATCTATTCAACATCCACAAAATGTTTATTCTAATTTATTGGAGATATTTCTTTTAGTTAATTCCCTCAACCAAGGTGTGACAACAAGAATTGTTGTGCTAGGTATCTAAAAGCATTACTTTTATTTTGGAAGAATTATTCAGTACACCGGGTGTACCACGTTATATTATTTATGTGATATACTCGTCCAATGAGATTGTATCATTTAGACATTTTGTCTATGTCAGCTTTTCACTTTTATTTCTCTCTTTCTTAATAGGTATTCAATGCAAATACCTATTAAGAAAGAGAAAAATAAAAGTGAAAAACTGACATAGACAAAATGTCTAAATAATACAATCTTATTGAACATGTGTACCACATAAGTAATATGACGTGGTACATCCGGTGTACTGAATAATTTCTCTTTATTTCCTTAGATAAGTCTCTATCTTCTACGTGAAAGAAAATATTGTAACTAAATAGTTAAATATAAATTTTTGTGAAAGAAAATACTGTACCAAAAAAATTTGAGTTGTGATTTCAGTGGTAAAAGGAACAAAGGCTAACACCCCGTTAAAAAACTCTAAAAAATAATCACATTTAACTTTTTTATTATAACAAAAAAAACTCTCATATAATATTACATTTCAACTTAAATTAAAATTTTGAATCAATAAACTAAAATAGTCACTAAAATGATTCAAGTTTTGGTTGTAATGTCTCACTCAGCCGTTTCTTCGCATGTCATTGTTTCTCCTCAGATTGCGGCCTTTGATTGAGTCCCTAGCCAGACGCTTGCAGGCCATTCATACATGGCCGATTAACCAAAAGAAAATATAAAAAAAAAAAAAAAAGGACCAAGATATAGATAATGTCAATTCAACAAATAGTAGACAATGAGTGGGACAAAGTTGAGCTACTCGTTTTGTTTTTTTTTAAGAGTATATAATTGTTTAACTTGCCGTTTTCTCCACTAATATGTGTATTTGCAAAGATTCCAAATATTTCTTTTCCAACAAAAAGGGATTTGTTTGTCCATATCACAAGTACATAATCTGTACCGTTTATATAAATCGCACATAAATGAGTGGTTTAAATTTACTCGCGAGTGCAATTAGCATTCCTTGTGTAAATAAGAGAAAAAGTGATTCACAATCAGGATATTGGTGAGATATATACCCTTGTCAACCTCATTGATAAGAGGACAAAGAAGTTGAGGTCAATTATTTACACTTGATTTCACACTTGATAATGATAAGAAGTAATCTACACATTGAGAAAAAGGGAATGAAACCAAAATGGGAATTCATAATAAAATTCAAATTGATAAAAATGTATAAGCTGATGTTTACTAAACCTTTTCTCCTTTTTAAGTTATTTAAAATCTATATTTCTCAAGTGTTACAAGAGAGTTTAAACACAATGTGTTTTAACCTCCCTAGACACTGCATGTAAACTCGCTACTAAAAAAAAGACTAAAATTACATCAGCCCTCTTCTAAAAACATTCAGAAATTCTTGCTTTCTTTCTGTGGTCAACATTAGAAACTGTAAAGATTCTTTCTTATATTATATAGTTATTATAAATATATATATATATATATCTATATACCTTCTTTATGTATCATATTTCCTCTTTGCAAAGTCCTTCAAGGGAAGGGGAATTCTTCAGGTGTTCATTCTTCTTTATGTACTTCTTGCAGAAAAACTCTGACTGGGGCGATCGATGAAAGCCGACGAAAGGGAAAGAAAGATAGCTGTCCTGTGTCTAACTGAAAATGATTGCCTTTGAACCAGTACTCTTAACTCTATAAATCTTATTCTTCTGTGTGTTTCCAGACCTATATAACTGTTGAGATTCCACTAGCTATTGAAGATGCAAATGGGCTATCCGGGAGATTAAGTGCTTGGCTGCACAAAAGAAAAAAAACAAAAGGAAACTATTGTCACCAAATATAATAAATTGATGTTCTAACGAGAAACAAGACTAGCCAATTCCCTAGAACCTAAGGTATGCAGTGGCACATGTTGTATCGAGTAGACCTACGGATCCCAACTTCTTGATACGACTGATGTGGCAAGTGAATTGTTATCTTTGATTAGTAAATGTAATTGACATGACAATTTTATAAACACCTATCAATAAAAAATGACAATTCACTTTTCACACCAGTTCAATTGATATAAGAAACTAGGATGAGAGATAGGATCCTTTACATTATTACTTGTCCAAAAAGTTTCATCTTTCGGTTCATGTATAATTTAATAAATAATTCGTTTTAACATTTTACCCGAGTGAATCATTGATTTTATCATACGAAAAATAGACACAAAACTAAAGGAAAAAAGTGGATATTTTTTAGAAAGTGAAGTTCCCAAAACAGACATCAAAAAGTAAAATCCCTCAAATTCAATGATTAATAAGGGATGAAGTTTGAAATGTATTACAAGTTTATACCTTTCTTGGTCAGTGAAATGGGTGTCTGTATGCTTGAACTTGTCATCACTTGTGGAGCCACAGTTTAAAACATCCAACAGACGACTGACCTGGTCTGTGGATGGCAAAGTGAATTGATCTGCACAATTACATGAAAAAATTAAAATTGAAACGATAACACGCAGCAACTAAAGGAAAAAAAATAAGGCAATAAGTTAATAGTAAACCTTCTGAGACTTTAAGCTCATCCATGGAGTAGCCAAAAAAGGGTTGATTGTTCACAGGCTTCCCTGCCAGGTGCATCCCTGAAAGTCGCCTCGTTTCGAGTTCGAGTGCCCGTTCGTGCTGTTCCATGAACTGCCTCCTCAGCAATCTAGAGTTCTCATAGCTTCTTGAGACTTAAAGAGGAGGAAAAAGAAAACCATGTAAATGAAAAGCAAAGGAGAATGAAAAGATATTGCATTGGAAATTCTAATGCATTTTGTATGCAAAAAGCGAAATCCATGTAACTAGTGAATTCACACATTCAACATAAGACACCACAAAACACTTTCCAGGCTCCAAATTTAGAGCAATTTTTGAGGTTTTACTCACTTGAATGAAACTCAGCTTCCATGTCAGAATAATGTGGAGAATAATATACCGGTGCCTCAAATCTATCTGAATACTTTCTGCGTGAATTAAGATACGTATAAGATTGAGAAAGATAGTAATTGGTAATAAAACAGATTATGCATCATTTCAAACAGAAACAACTAAATACACTGAGAAACTAGATGAATATAAAGATCACAAGAGAATTATGAAACTTAAGTTAAACAGAGACTACAATGTGATTCTGTCTGTTGATAGGAAATGTACCTATCAACAAGCTTTGATTTCTCTCGGTAAGGTTTCACGAGAACACGAGCCCCGCAAACGAAATGGGGATTTCCTTTTGCCAAAATCATCTTAACTGTATCTGCAATGGCAAAGGTTACAAAACCAAACATCCTTTTCTGTTGGCAAGGAATCCTCACATCTTCAACAGTCCCAAAGGTGCTACAAAAAAAAAAAAAAAAAAAAAAAAAAAAAAAAAAAAAAAAAAAAACGAAAATCCAACTCGATAAGCTTACCATTGAACATAGAAAATTTCCAAACATAGAATTTTCAAAGGTTAATGTAGACATACTTAAAGTAGTTCGAGACATCTTCTTCAGTGAAAGTGCTCTCAGCAGGAAATGTCAGATATATCTGCCTCGACCCGCTTACAATTGGACCAGGATCACTCTTTTCACTCCTGTTGTCAAAGAATTTCTGAGAGTCTTCAGCCAAAATGACAGCATGTTGTCCATGAGGCCTGCTAATTCAATCACATAAAACACAAAATAAAACAATTTAAGCACTCATAAACATGGCAAAATAAGCATATAAAACTAAAAACAAACACCAAAAGCTTAATACCTATCAATGAGCCTAATACTATTCTTCAATCTAGCAAGCAGCTTTGTCAAGCTATAACCAGCCTTTCCATGTCTCTGGCTCTCAGTTAAGTACCCTTCAGCCTGCAGATACTTCCCGTACTTCTCGTAATACATAGCGGGCAAAGAAGCGATCGAAACGGGGTTCCCTCTTCGCGACTTGAGAAGCTCGATTATTTCCACCTCAAGCTGCTCAAGTGAGCCAGGTGAGAACAAATGGTCATCACCAAAAGAGTCATTTCCGTGCACCTGAGAGAAATTCTCTGGAGCCAGATGCCCATGAAAGTACCTGCAGCTAGTCCCATGCTTGCAAAACCCTTTGAGGAAATAGTGACAAGTCTTGATTGGGAACTCAGAAAGGCTTGAAATTGATCTCCTACTTGGTCTAGAGTTCAAACACCCGATACCGGAATCCGGGTAGTAAACATCATTGGGAGATGGAAATCCGGAGACCCCAGAATTTATTTGCTCAATTTGGTCCTCCAGGCTCAGAAACTGAGCCTGTTTTGGCAGCTCCAATGGCAAAAACTCCGAGTTGTTGTTGTTGTTGTGGTGTTTGGAAGCATTATGATCCCAAGAATGGAAGGTTGAGGATGAAAAGGGCCGCGAATTCGAAGAAGGCGAGAAAATCGGAGAGAAAGAGGAAGGTGATGATGGAATAGGAGATGGGAGGGATATTTGTTGGAGGTGAGATTTGGCTTTCAAAATGAATTGGTAAATCAAAGCCTCAGGAGCAGAAGCTAATCTTGCCACTTCTTGCTCACCATGGTCTTGCAAAAGGAGATAGCCTATAATCTTAGTGACATTCTCTGGCTCTATTTCCTGAATCCTATTGAATAAAATCTTTGTAGACTCTGAAAAATCCATCATTTATCTGACCTGACCACTGCAATAAAACATTTTGACCAAAAAAAAATAATAATTACTTGAATATGTGAATTTTTTCAAAAAGGTGTTGGGAAAAAAAAAATTGCAGATTCTAAGGAAACAATTGTATGACTGCAGTGTCTGTCTGCTATTTCTCTTATTCTCTCTCTTACATCCCAAAATGGAAATAAACTCGAATTAAAAAAAATATAATAATTGTGATATCTGATATTAAACATAAAAGAGCTGTGACAATCAGAACATATCAGAATCCAGAGTTGAAAATGGAGTCATTTCTAAATCTGGGATAAAAGGGAAAAAAAAAAAAAAAAAAAAAAAAAAAAAAAAAAAAAAAGAGATGAAATAAAATAAAATTCTCCAAACAAATTGCATTATTGTAAGCAAAGAGAAGATACCAAATAACACACTGATTCAAAAGGCTTTACATAGAAAAAGAAAAAAGAGCAGAAATTACATAGAAGAAGCAGAAATGGTAAGTACTAATCTACAAAACTTGATACAATAAGAATATAAATAAAATAAATACATGCTGCAAATCAGGAACACTAAAAAGGAAATAACTTTTTGACTTAACAACTCTGCAGAAGTTCGATTTTTTTTTTTCCTCCCCAACTCAAAAAACCCAGTTGGACTTTCCCAAACTGGACTTAAAAAAAATACTATTATATTGATTTCAGTAGAGAAGACCAAACCAAAAACCACATCTAAAAACACATCCTTTGTAAGCAATGAAAAAAAAAAATCACTTATTTCAGTTGTGAAACTTTAGACCCAGAAAGAGAAATATATATATATATATATATATATATAAACATACCCAAAAAAGGGAAAAAATCACTCAGTCCCAGGTTGAGAAAAGAAACAGTCAGAGAAGATTAGCACAGAGCTTCAAACACCATATCTAGTACTACTCACTTTCTCTCTCTACAACTCTCTTTCTCTCTCTAGGCTTTTCAATTATCCAAAACAAGGACATCGTGTTAATCTCAAAAACAAAAAAGCAAGCTGACAGAAGCGATGCTTTTAAAGAGCACCACACTTGGAGTTCAAATATAAACAAAACCAAAAAATAAAAATTAAAAAATAAAAACATTCTAATTTAATATTCATATAATACAAGATTAATTTACCTAATAATAAGAACTAATGAGAAGAGAAGTAAAACAGTGATCATAATACTCACTAGAAAGTGGAAAACAACTTCTTTAGCATTAGTAGTAGTACTTCACTCTTTGGATTTTTCTTTTTCTTTATACGTATTAAATTTGTTAGTTCTGAAATCTTTTTAAAAAGTTACAGATTTGCGCTTTTGACATCCAGATAATAACAAATTTTCCATGATTTTCGTTTTGGATTATAACTGCTCTTGAAGTCCAACTACGTGAATTACATAAACACCCATGTTAAGATACCAGAAAAAAAAAAAAACCAAAAAAAACAATAAATTTTACTTACTATTTTTATTATTATTATGGGAGGCATTAAAAATGTTTAAATATTCGGAAATACCAATGTGCCAAAAATTGGAAAACAATACTACAGATGTCGGCAAACTAAACCTCTTGAGTGGCACAAACGTGGATTGGTTTTTGTATTTTTATAAGGAAGTGGGCCACCTCAAATATCCACCGTTGGATTATCCTTGAGATTCACATCCACATGAATTTCAAGGATGGGGTCCAATTGGAAGTGCATACTCCATGGAGCATATTAGAAAAGTTTCACTATTTTTTTATTATTATTTTAGTGACAATGAAGGATTCTTTTAAAGTAGGCTTTTAAATTTAATCAAAATCACATTATTAAAATAAATAATTATGTAAAATAAATAGATTTTGATATAAGTTTAATAATTTAAAACGTAGATCTATTGATTTTTTTTTTTTGAGCAAATCTCTGATAATGAAAAGGTTTACTATTTCAACTTAGCTAAATAATAAATTGAAGCTTTGTATATATTTTTTTTTTTTTGAAATAATTCAAGTTTGTTTTTTATCCCCAAAAAAAATGAAGCGTTGTGTTTTGATCATTAAGCATGATGACAAGGCAACTTGAACCCACTGGGTCCCGTTTTGTAACATTTGCCTTGTTGGTGGTTGTGGGGTCCACTCATATTTTCTTTGGAGCTTGTATAATTTGTTTGTGGTGCACACATCCTAGATCGTCTACCACATATAATATAAGTTATTTATGTACGTGTAAATTTTATAAATATATTCTGAAAATAAAAATACACACACACACATAAAAGCTATATCTTTTTTATTTTATTTTATGGGATTATATGCTATGGCTTTGTATATATATATATGATGATGTCTTGCCCTTTCACGTATCTCATAGGGTAAGATAAAGTGCATCCTTCAGTTTGCAGATTCAAATTTTCAATTCGAGTTAAGATGTGATTTTATGTGAAAATTTTTTATTGTAGCAGAAAAAGTTAGATGTGATTTTTTGTGAGTGCTTTCAACTGTAGTAAAATTAAAATTGAAAACTCAAATCGGTGAAATAAACGATGCCTAAGATTTCCCTTCCCTAATCCCTATTGTCATTTTTAATTTTTTAGATTTTGAACCTGATTTTTTTTTCCTCATTTTTTGTCATTGCAAATAAAAATTAATAGCTTTATACGAGTTTAATCTATATTTAGTTCGTCATGAGGTTGGCTGGTAATATGTTCAAAGTTCATTATTGATTGAATTATAGAAAATGTCAACTGATTGTGGTTTTCAGAGTTAATTCCTTTGTTGAAAAATGTGATTTTCAGAGTTTATTGTTGAAAACGTGATTATTTTCAATTAACTTCTTTTTAGATGAGAAAAAAAAAATAAAAAGGAAAAGTTCGCCAAAATACTAAGATAAAGAAATGAAAATATTTCTGAATGGTTCTTTCAATATATATATATATATATATTTCTGAATGCTCTTTAATGGAATTTTTATATCTTTATTTTATCATGGTATATCACCGTCTATCATCATTCATTCATTTGATAACCGTATCTTTTTTTTCTTTTTTTCTTTTTTTTTTTTTTTGCTGTAACGTAGAAAAAGATCGTAAATTTAAAGTAAAAAAAATCGAGAAAATTAAATTAGGAAAAAATGGTAGTCAATTCAGAGAACGATGGTGAAGGGTATTTGATGTAAATAGGGGTGAGTCCCGTTTCGACCGGCTAGATGAGAGGAACTTCCCGGTCAGCGTATCAATGAAGATCTCTATGAGAGCTATTAAAGGGTTAATTATTTAATTAAACTTTTAAAATTATTAATTAATAACAAAATATATGATCACTTGGATATATGCAGAATGATTGTTGAGTAAGAATAGGGCTTTCTGTTTTTGTTCATTTTGGATATATATATATACTCTTTTGAGATCACTTTAGAATTGCTGAAAATTTGCCGTGTGAAAATCTAGAAACAAACATTTAGAACATATGCTTTTATTATATATTTTTTTTCCTTTTTTTTTGTTTGGAGAATTTTTCTAATGGGACTTGAAAAAAAAGAACTAGTCGTAATTCTTTACTTTTTAACTGCAAAATTTATATCACAAATGATTTGTTTTATACATTTTTTTAATTTGATATGATTTAGATCATATATAATGGTTATAAACTAACCTTATTAATAAGCCGGCTTACTAGATAATGTTCTGTTTAGATGTATTTCAAAAGGTCTTATTACTTATAAAATCTTAATATTAATAGCTTTTTTTAATATTCATCCAAATAATAATAGCTTAATTTATATTTTATTAGTTATATTTAAATGAATAACTCAAATAATATATTCTAATTAATCTTTTCATCTTAAAGGTGTTAAAGATGTTAAAGACGTTTTTCTAACATAATGTATATGCATAGATTATTTGTGGTTTCCAATTAAGATGATATAGCTTAAATTCCTTTCTTTTCTAAACCACACACATCCATTAATAAGTCAGAATTCTTCAATCTTTTCTCTTTTTTTTTTTTCGCTTTGGGATTGAAATAATAAGGTCGTAATGATTAAATGAACTTATTTTTCTTTGAAAGGGAAAGAAAGAAATAAAGTACAAATTATTATTTTTGATAAGTAAGTACACATTATTGTCATAAAAGGAAGTTGGCCCATTTATGAATTTTATTTGCGACTATATCTTGTGAAAGTACTCTAATAATCTATTATATATGTAATGAGTAAGGTTAGGGATACTAACTCAAATATCAATTTTTTTGTACTAACTAATGTCACATGTGAGTTGTTATCTTTTTATTAATAGATTCTTAATTGACGTATTAATATTTTAAACACCCATCAATTTAAGAATGACAACTCACATGTCACATCAGTTGATACATAAAAGTTAGAATTTGAATTAATGGCCCTAATATTATTCATATGTAATATAACCAAGCAATACACACATCAATCCAAAAATTGAAAGAAAATAGAGAATGTCATTGTTCTAACTACAAATTTTTTTTTTTTTTTCAACTTTTCCAATAATTGGTAGGTTCAAGTGATCAAGAGATATGAATGTTTATGCTAAAGGACAAACAAAGAGAATTCCATGCTCTCTTCAAATATACAGACATCCTTTCCTGTTGAAGAACATGGAAAATACATATAGATTTGTAAACATATAATGAGCAAGAATGTAAACAAATTAGCTGAGGACACCTACTTTGTTGCTTCTAATCCAATAATACAACATAAAATATTAAGGAAAAAGCTTCATGGCTGTCATGTCGGTGAAGTATACCCTACTACAAATCAGTCATTTTCAAAGCTCCCTTAATTGATGATCATATAATATATAGTATACTTCCCTAATATATATATATATATAATGAATTATACTAATTGTAATGGAGAAAGTTGCAATGCTTAGTAGAGCTTATCATCTCAATCAAGTGGACAAAACCTTTATTAAGTTGTATATCACCTCACATAGTTAAATTATTCTTAATTGTATTCTTTCCGCATTTGGTTGCTTAATGTGATGCCATTTTGATGGTGATGGTTGAAGACACATGCATAGTTTTATTAGTTCACTAAAGTTTACCTTTTGGGATCAGTTAAAAACACACTGTTTAACGTAAGTTTTTATTTTAAAACTAATATATTTTAACGTTGTCATGATTTTAAATCTATTTAACGTAAGTTTTTATTTTAAAATTAATATATTTTAACGTTGTCATGATTTTAAACAGTTAACAAAAATATCTTTTTAACTTTAAAATTTTTGAGTACAGTATTTTCCCTTATAAAAATTGGAATTCCTCCTCAAACTTTATATTCAAACTAAACGGATCAGGGAACAACAATTTTTTTTCAATAGTTAAGGTTAAACAAAAATTAATAAAAAAGGGTCTATATTATACTTTTATGAACTAGAAATATAGTTGTAATGTCATTGTATTTGAAAGAGCAGACACACGATATGTTGGTGTATTAAGTTATAAATTAAGTTAACCCACTCCACAGGGAAAATTGTAGTTGTGCTGTTATCATCATAAGGATAATCAAGGTGAGTTCTCTTTTGGGTTTTTGTTGGATTATTTTCAGCAGCAATTTTTTTTTCTTTTTTTTTTCTATTAAAATTTGCAAGAAGGTCCAGCTTATATTATTATTGCACCAAAAAATAATTTTGTTTACAAGCACAAGCTAAACTCCATTATGTACAAACTTTTGTGTCACATGGCATGCCATCGAAATTTAAAAGTTTAATATATATACCACTTAACTTCAATGTATTAGATTTTTTTCTGATAAATTGAGTGACACAAGTCTTAAATTTAGGAAAATAGTAGAAAATATGTCAATATGAAAAGCTTAAGGAAGTCTTTAGGCCAAGTTTTAATTATAGAAATTAATAGGCAATAACTTGTCAAGTTATAGTTCATAACCAGATAAGTTATGGACAAACTTGTCAAGTTATGGTTTATAGTCAGATAAGTTATG